CGTTCTCCCTCACCACTTGGGATGAATTTAAGAAAGATCTTATGTTGCACTTCTATCCCCAAAATGCCAAGTACGAAGCCAAGGAGAAACTAAGGTGGCTCAAGCAAACGGGGAGCGTCAAAGACTATGTCAACACCTTCGTGAGTTTGTTATTCGAGGTGCCCAACATGTTAGAGGAAGACAAGCTCATGTACTTCATGAGTGGACTGCAAAATTGGGCAAAACTCGAACTACAAAGGAGACACGTGCAAACATTGTCTGATGCCATTGCCGCCGCCGAATCCTTGATTGAGTTTAAATCAAGCCACCAAGGTGATTCCAAGTCCACGGGGAAGAGGGGTAACCATGAGAAAAGTGGGGGAGAACATAAGCCGAAGGATAAGGCTGAGACAAACAAACCGAAGGAGAAGAAAGCCGATAAGCATGACAAAAGCAAGGGTAAGTCTTGGCAACCCACTTGTTACTTATGCGACGGCCCTCACATGATGCGAGATTGCCCACAAAAGAAGGCCCTTAAGGCCATGGCTTTCAAGGAGGACAAGGCCGAGGAGAGTAACGATGCAAGGATGGGATGCATCCGTCTGCTGAATGCCATCCAAACAACCCTCCCACAACCTAAGGCTCAAGTTGAGGGAGGATCATTGTTCGTCGACGTCAAGACTGGTGACAAGACAACGCGTGTGTTGGTGGACACGGGAGCAACCCACAACTTCATGACGTCGGAGGAAGCTACAAGGCTTGGCCTCCGAGTCACAAAGGAGCCCAGTAGCGTGAAGACGGTAAATTCCGCTGCCACCCCCATTGTCGGAATTGCGCGCAATGTACAAGTAGACATTGGCGCATGGAAGGGAAATATCGACTTCACCATAGTCAAGATGGACGACTATGGCGTAGTCATTGGGTTAGAGTTCATGGACAAGGTACGAGCCTTTCCCATTCCCTTCTACAATATTTTCTGTATCTTGGACGACGGAAGACAACCTTGCCTGGTGCCATTGGAGAGGCAAGCCAAGAAGTGTACCCAACACTTGTTGGCAATTCAATTTGCCAAGTCCTGGAAGAAAGGCGAGGCCACATTTCTTGCAACCCTAATGTTGAATGAAGGGGAGGAGAAGTACGGGCCTTTGCCGAAACAAGTGGAAGCCGTCCTTATGGAGTTTGCGGACGTGATGCCTAAGGAACTGCCAAAGAAGTTGCCACCAAGGAGAGAGGTCGACCATACGATTGAGTTGGAGCCTGGTGCTAAGCCTCCCTCCAAATCACCTTATAGGATGTCGCCACCCGAGTTGGAGGAATTGAGGAAGCAACTCAACGAGCTACTTGATGCTGGCTACATCCAACCCTCCAAGTCCCCATATGGTGCACCCGTCTTGTTCCAACGCAAGAAAGAAGGTAGCCTAAGGTTGTGCATCGACTATAGAGCATTGAACAAGATTACCATCAAGAACAAGTACCCACTTCCGTTGATCGCCGACTTATTCGATCAACTTGGTGAAGCAAGGTACTTCACAAAGTTAGATCTTCGATCAGGATACTACCAAGTGAGGATAGCCCATGTAGACGAATCGAAGACGGCGATGGTGACCAGATATGGATCGTTCGAGTATAAAGTCATGCCATTTGGTCTGACCAATGCCCCTGCAACATTCTGCACATTGATGAACAAGGTATTCCATCCTTATCTTGACAAGTTTGTCGTGGTTTACATTGATGATATCGTTATTTATAGCAAGACATTGGAGGAGCACGTCAAGCACTTGCGCATAGTGTTCAAGACCCTTCGGGAGCATGAACTCTATGTCAAGAAGGAGAAATGCTCCTTTGCCACAAAAGAAGTAGAATTTCTTGGCCACAAGATAAAGGAGGGGAAACTTATGATGGAAAAGGGCAAGATCAAGGCCATTCAAGAGTGGGAACCGCCGACCAAGGTACCAACACTACGATCCTTTCTGGGGCTAGCCAACTACTATCGGAGATTCATTAAAGGGTATTCAGCCATAGCGGCACCCTTAACAGACATTCTTAAGAAGAACAAGGCATGGGAATGGACGGACCGGTGTCAAGAGGCCTTTGAGAGGTTGAAGAAGGCCCTAATGGAGGAGCCTGTACTAAGGTTGCCCGACCTTAGTAAGCCATTCGAGTTGCACACTGATGCTTCCGACTTTGCCATAGGAGGAGTGTTGATGCAAGAGGGACATCCGATAGCCTATGAAAGTCGCAAGCTAAACAATGCCGAGAAGAGGTACACGACCCATGAAAAGGAGATGACCGCCATCGTCCATTGCCTTAGAGTTTGGAGGCATTACTTGCTTGGTACTCCCTTCATCATCAAGACGGACAACGTTGCCACTAGCTACTTTCAAACCCAACAAAAGCTCACACCTAAGCAAGCAAGGTGGCAAGAGTTCTTAACGGAGTTTGATTACAAGCTAGAGTACAAGCAAGGAAAGGAGAACGTGGTGGCCGATGCTCTAAGTAGACGAGTAGAGTTAATGGCTACGGTACTCAAGCCGCAAAGCCATCTCTTGGGCCGTGTCCGAGAAGGTTTGTCACATGACGTCCAAGCTAAGAACATTGTGGAGTTTGTCAAGGATGGGAAGACAAGAAGGTTTTGGCTTGAGGACGGCTTGCTATACACCAAGGGCAAGCGGATCTACGTCCCAAAGTGGGGAAGCTTAAGGAAAGAAATCCTGAAGGAGTGCCATGACTCAATGTGGGCAAGACATCCTGACACTCACCGTACGTTGGCTTTGGTGAGCGATGCTTATTATTGGCCACAAATGCGGGATGATGTAGATTCATACGTGAAGACTTGTCTTGTGTGCCAACAAGACAAAGTGGAACAAAGGCAACCGGGAGGACTGTTGGAACCACTTCCCACCCCATCAAGACCATGTGAGTGTTTAACCATGGATTTCATCACACATTTGCCCAAGTCTGATGGATATGGATCTATCTTCGTCGTGGTCGATAGATTCACCAAGTATGCCACTTTCATACCCGCACCTGTGGAGTGCACAGCCGAAGTAGCTGCACGCTTGTTTCTAAAGCACGTGGTGAAGTATTGGGGTGTTCCAAGAAGCATAGTCAGTGATCGAGATGCTCGCTTCATGGGTAAATTTTGGAAGGAGCTCTTCAAGCTACTTGGCTCAAAATTAGACTTTTCCACCGCTTTTCATCCCCAAACTGATGGACAAACGGAGCGGGTTAATGCATTGTTAGAGACTTATTTGCGACACTATGTTAGTGCCAATCAACGAGATTGGGCTAAGTTACTTGATGTTGCCCAATTCTCTTATAACTTGCAACGTTCGGAATCGACGGGGAAAAGTCCGTTCGAGTTGGCTATAAGGCAACAACCCTTGACCCCGAACACGGTCGTGACTGGCTACATGGGGAATAGTCCAGCCGCTTTCAAAACCGCTAAGGAGTGGCAATTAGCCCACGAACTTGCTCGAGCTCATTTGGAGAAGGCTTCAAAGAAGATGAAGAAATGGGCGGATCGTAAGCGAAGGAATGTGGAGTTCCAAACCGGCGACCAAGTCTTTGTGAAGCTTAATGCGTCTCAGCACAAGAGTACTCGTGGCTTGCACAAGAGCTTGTTGTGGAAATATGAGGGACCATTCCGTATCATCAAGAAGGTTGGCAAAGCCGCTTATGTCGTGGAACTCCCACCCCGTCTCAAGTTTCACCCGGTGTTCCATGTGAGCAACTTGAAGCCTTATCATGCAGACAATGAGGAACCAAGCCGAGGTGAGTCTCATCGAGCACCCCCTTTGATGACGGAGGCATTTGACAAAGAAGTAGAGAGCATCGAAGCCAAGTGTGTCGTGGTGCGACCAAGACAACCAAAGCATGTGGAGTACTTTGTCAAATGGAAAGGGCTACCATACTCCGAAGCAACATGGGAGAAGGAGACGTCCTTATGGCAATATAAGGACCTGATTAATACATTCGAGAGGCAAGAGTCGACGAGGACGTCGACGGCTTAAGTGGGGGAGGATGTCACGGGCCATATGTTACAAACAAAGAAAACGCCCAAGACATCATATATCTAAGCCCATAAAGCCTTGTCTTCATAGAAGCTTCTGGAACATCCCGGAAAAATCAAGAACATGGTGGAGCGTTCAAGATAATCTAGGGCATTCCAGAACAATCCACACAAGTGTACAAATTCAAGCCTCACCTAGAACAATCTAGATTAGGCAAGTTGTATCTAGAACTATACTAGATATTTTTGGATGTAAGTAGGGATTTCTAGAACCCTCCATTGAGGAGGTTACTTAGGCTTATAAATAGGAGGCAAGCCATTTGGCCAAGGCATCCAAGAATTGTAAGCAATTGTAAAGTTCTCCTAAGTTTCAATACAAAGCTTCCTTTCTCTCATCTTCTAAGTGATTTTAGCACTCTCCAAGCTATCTTAGCTTTCTTTGTGATTCAATCCGGGGAAGCGAGGCTTCGAAGGCTTACTTAGCTTGTTCATCGAGGTATTCAAGTCTAAGTGCCGCACGGGCGGAAGGCTTAAAGAGTCATCCCGTGACACTAGGTAGGTCTGGGAGGGCTAGGTGGGCACCTAGCGCTCTAGCAAGTTAGGCGCTATTTCTTTATTTTCAAACGTCTAGTGATTAATCGAGACGATAATTAACTGCCTAACAATAAGTATATGATGAACAAATACGATATGAGAATACCTGGACCGTCACAAAGTGAATCGGATGGTTCCAAATCCAGAACAGACGGCATCATTCCACATGGAGTGTAGTAGACCAATGACATCGAAGTTTGGCGAGCCCCATAACTCCGTTACATAATTGGCCCAAACTATTCGACCCGAACGTTGACTTGTTTTTGTTCTTTCGGGTCGGAGCGAAAAGGCGAATAAAAGTGCGGTTCTTCTTCTCCACTTCACTCGCGTTTCGTTTCGTTTCGGCTACAGTTGAGCGCTCTCTGACATTGAAGATCTGTTCGCTGCTTCTGCCGGTTTCGCGTTCCATCTTCACCACTGAAGGTACTCTCTCTCTAATGCTTCTGATTAGTTTCCACTTTTATGATTTTTCGAACATGTTTATGGGATCTCGATTTCTCGAACATGATTGTCAGTGTAAAACCCTAGAAATTTGGTGCTTTTTTCCAATTTGTTTTTCTGCGTGAGGAAAACTACATTTGCAAGGTTGAAATTGTTTGTTTTGAGCTGAATGATACATGATGATCGCATAGCGGAGTGGATATCGCATTAGACTCCGGATCTAAAGGTCGTGGGTTCGAATCCCACTGCGATCGTTCCCCCTTTATGCATTTCCCAATTTCTGTTTTTAATTTTTATTTTTCCGCTATGAATGGTTTTGGATTCTGGGTAGAAAAATTGGACAAAGGCATTGCTAATTACTACTGACAAGTGACATAACTCTCTGTGATTCATGTACTTTCGAGGTTCGGAGAATAGCAGTTTCATCTTCAATCGTAAACAAGTACATATAGTTTAAGGAAATGTGAGATAAAATGTTTGATATAAGGTTCTGGTTGCCAAATTATTGGAATATGGATAATGTTACATTGAAATATGCTTTAGTTTCATCTACAAAGATGGCGGGAATATTCACCGAGGATGAGAGCAGAATATCTCTTAGATTTGTTGATGCTTGGCGCGTTAAAAGGGAAAAGATAGCGGAAATATTCGCCAAGGATGCAGTAGAATGTCTCTTAGATTTGATGGTGCTTGTTAGAAGGGAATAGATAGCGGGAATATTCATCGAGAGGATGGGAGTAGAATGTCTTTTAGATTTGTTGATGCTCTTTAAAAGGGAAAAGATAGCGGGAATATTCACTGAAGATGGGAGTAGAATGTCTCTTTCTTGATACAGTAATGATATGTTCGTATTAAATGATTGAAGATGCCTATTTTCACTGGTGAGGTCTTATTAACAAGCAATGTGAAAAACTAGTCGGATAATGTGAGGTGTGACTTAGTATGTACATAATCACTGTGTTTCTGCTCTGTTTTCTTGTGTACTACATCTGCATCACTTTTTTGTTTTGAACAAGACCGTGTAATTGTTGTGTATGCTATATTTCTTTGATTAGTGAATAAGACTACTCAAGATACCGGAAAGCGGATTTTATGTTCCATTTCTTGAACTAGGCATCGAAGGTTTTGTGGTCAGAGTCAGTTAAGTAGAATCCACAATACTGGACATGATATGATTGAATTTATTCTCACAAAAGAGACCCGATTGAGGAATATATTCCCAATGATTAAAGATGCTTCTGCTCGTGGTTTGATGTTTGCTGTTAACCGAAGTGCCTTTTGTACCCTATCAAGATTTATGTGGATATGCTATAAATTTGTTTGGAGATTACTTATTTGAAAATCGATATGTGATCATGCCTAAAAGATGTATACCCACACACACACACACATTCATGACCTTGCGTTTGTATTTCTGGCGAACCAATTCATCCAGTTCTATATTTCCTCAATTGACTACTCTGAATTTTGAACTTGATGCTGTTTGAATCGAAAATCCATAGACTACTTGATATGCGCGTGTCTGTGTGTGTAATATAGATTGTGCTGTGAAGCATGAAAATGTGCGTTGCGCAGATTTAATATGATATTTTGTAGTGTAATACTAATTCATGTCATTCTGTTTGTCTTCCAACAGATGATTGATGATGTAGGTCTGGGGACTGTTGCCAACTTACTTGGCATGTTCATATTTTTTCTAGTGATTGCTTATCATTACGTGACGGCCGACCCAAAATACGAGGGCAACTGAAAAACTGAGTTGTGTATGTGTTAATGGAGAGACCATATGGCACCCCAAGAAACACATGGATCATGCAACGTAGTGTTTGAATTTTGTTAGCATACCTAAAGACGGGATATAAACCGGAAGTTTTGTGTACCTGCAACTTTTGGTAGCTCTCAATACAATAATCTTCTCTTCCTTTTTATCTCGTTAATAATTTGTGTATTCATGACGTTGATTGTGTTTTGCGATGTGAAAAACACAAGGGATTCCTATATTGTCTTCAAACTGTCCCATCCCTGAGGGGTACCCGTGTCAATAACACATCGTGTAAGTTTCGCTTTACATGGCGTTTAATTGGCACGAAATGTCACAGTGATAAGTACCTGTATCCTAAAAGTTGGCGGGGATTCCAAAACACACATTAAAAACAGTTCAAACTTTCTAAAGTGACTTTTTTTAACTACCGAGAAAAAGTAAACAAACAGTTCGGGACTTCCTCCGAAACAAAAACAAAAAGCAAAAACAATTTCGCAGTTTGAGACATTGCAAACAAAAACAGACCCTCAAAACCTGAACCCAGTTCCTAGCAACAGCAGTTTCATCGGACGCAAGCAGTCTTTTCGCAAACAGCCCCAGTTCCTCAAACAGAACAAAACACAAGTATCTCTGGTCGCATGATATCCAGCTAGTTTTATGCAATGGACTCATAACATTTCTTGAGACTTTCTGACACACCGCCCTACTTTCTTCCTGAACTCGTCCCTACTCTCTCTCCATTGTTTCTGGAAACACACACAATTAACAACATATGTCAGTGGATTAGACAGATACCACAAGGTAAATAAGTAAATAAGATAAGCCATTCACATGAATCACTGGTGAGCCAGTTGAACCGACACCGTTTGTTTCCTCGTTCAATATTCAAAACATCCAAGCCTGAATGGCAAATTGAACCTAGTATAATGATGTACATAAAAGCTGCTTACACTATGTTTCTGTCCAATGTGTTTTACCGGGAAGAAAATCATGTCTTTCTTGTGAGCTTAGATGTTACTTTTAAGAAAACCAAGTGGACTAACAAGTGCTGTACAATGTAAAGCATAGTCCTCAATCATTTTTTTTTTTTTTTTTTAATTAAGGAGCTGTGGCTTTACGAATTATTCCATGATCCCCAGCAAGTATCTTATCAGCAAGTACTACCAGAATCGAAGCATTTATACCATGTCGCTCTATATGCGAATTGAACTCCAGCATCCAATCCAAAGTAGTGTCAAACAAATAATACTCAAAAGAACTGATAATGAAATCAACAAATAAAGTTAAAAAAACCTACCGCAGCATCGACATTCGCAGGAGATTCATCATTAGGGCTTGAAAGCATTGAGATTATACTCAAAAGAATACTCTCAACCTGCAGAATAACAACAAATTCGTTAGTAGATCCTCAACAATAGGAACACGGTAACTGCGTTCATATAATAATATGTGGATCCATAGAAAATTAAACAAAATGCCTGGTACTTTGGGTCTGAGTTTGTAAACCAGAAGGAATCAACAATCAGTGTACATTTGATAATACAGCACATCCAGAACTGTCTCCAGTTAAAGACATCCCTCAGAGTCACATACAAACAAACGTTTTACGAGTTCACCAGAAATTTCAGTATGTACCGTATATTTAAGGCACAACTTCATTACTTTTCCAACAATAAAAGTAAAACCGGTGGTTTCCCACAACCATTCCGAAGTCAGTGTCACAGATCTTCAACTTGCAACAAGCTCACTTTTCAAACAACTGATTCCATTGCCTTGTAAAAGTTGGTGTTGTTCCCGACACCAGTGCCAACTTTTCCATAAGCACCTAAACCACTAAGTAGAAGCCACTTGAAGGTTAAATCACAGGTTCAATGTTGGAAAATTCAACTACCATAGTGATCCAGATTCTCCATTCCCTCTTTGTGATCTCTTATACTCTCTTCACTTGAGCACTCCCGATTGAAACCTACAGAAAGCTCAGATATGTACTATATCATTAACTCTCAAGATTCTGCAACTTTACTGCAAGCTTGTCTAGTTTCATAAAGTTCCTCCTCAAGACAAAGGAAGAGGAAGCAAACTAACATGAGGTTCATGGTACTAGCACATACAAGAATGACTAATGATTAGGGACTTCTCCGATCGAACGATGCACTAGTTTCCAATGCATCATGCAGGTAAAAAATTGTACAGCACAATACAATAATAAACCTGAACCCAACTCAAGCAATCTTTGTCTAAACTAGAGTTGTGCTAGGGTTTAGGAACAAGCACCTCAATACGGGCTCAGGATGAGATCCACAGGGCTATTGTACAATTCAGTCCTGCGATGATCTCATTTCAATCCTTACAGTTGGCCACCACCAAGTTGCACTGCCAATTATAACTACCATCAGATAATCAGTGTATTAATGACACACACAAACTCGACCACTTACGTATGTGTAACTCTCCAACTTTTGAATCTTTATCCAGAAACACTTGCAACCTTCTAATATTTCATTGTTATTTGAAACAGAAAGGGGAAACCACACTGCAAAATCCGCTAAAGAATTGATCCACTACTTATAACCATACAATGGAAATACACTTACAACTTGCAATCCAACACTGCACCCCTAGGATTATGGCTACAACTAAACAAGTGAAACCACAAAAGCTGGAAAGTAACAAGATTTTTATTCCAAATGCTGCACATAAAACATAGATAAATGGAAGAGCCAATATTGACAAATAAGTACATACTGTATGGACTGGATTCCAGCGCTCAGTTGCAAGCTCGTAGCCATTTGGATCGTCACCAGGGGGATGAAGAATTGAAACACAAACCTTTCCATCCGAGTAAACTGCAAAGGCCATGGAAGCTTGATCACGATGAACTAGAGGTGGAAAAGCAATATGCACAAGTTACTTCAGAAACAATATACAGAAGACAGTTGTTACCATTGGGGTGCCACATCTCTGAGGTAAATCTCACTATAGGAGGGTTGCACGGATAATCCTCGGGGAAACTCATGATGGCATTAAAGAAACCGCCCTCACTACAACAAATAAATTATAATGAACTAGGTCAGTTAAAAAATTCGGTTCCCAAACAAAAATCCTGTGGGTTTCCTGTCTTCACTATCAAAAGAATGCAATAAATTAGCTTCTAGTAACATCTGACGAACACCAAAAAATCAAAGGAAACTGAATCCAATCGTGTCCAAATCAAATAAACATCCGAAACCCTTTTTCGTCTAAAGAATGCATTAAATTAGCTTCTAGTAACATCTGCAAAACACCGAAATATTTAACAACACTTAATCCAATTATGTTCAAGTCAATTTTCTCATGCTTTAGGGAAAACCGAAAACTAATCATCACCGCAAAAGATATGAACTTTGTGATCAATTCCATCAAATACTCCGAACCCAAAACGAAACACATGAATTCAAACAAACCCTTATGGTCATATCAAAAGAAAATCAACCTCTTAAAAGAACACGCACATGCACCAAAACAAGAAGCACAGAAACTAAATTTCGAGCAAAACCATGTTTTAAAGAACGGTAAAGACATCGCATTACATACTAGAGAGTGTCGGGTGGGCCAATAATCGTGACGTTCCATTCGAAGATGTTGTCTTCGTTCACCAAACCGGCCGAGAATCCATCAACTGGGTGTTTGCAGAGATCTACAGGAAAATTCAGAAGAACAAAAAAAAAAAAAAACAGAGTTTAAGAATTTAATCAAGAAAGCCAAATCTCCAAAAACGAGAAGAGATAGATATATGGAATCATGGATTGAGATTAAAGGTGCAACCCTTGAGTTGCTTTTGGAGGAGGAGGCTGGCCTGGGAAGAAGGAGCCGTAGCCATGGGAAACGCAGAGAGAGAGAGAGAGAGAGAGAGAGAGAGAAGATTTTGGGTTGGATTTTAATAGAGAAAGGAGGATGGGGGATATGATATATATGGAGATTAGAATTGGTGTTCAACTTTGTTTTTGGAATCAAACCGACCGATAATTTTAACTTTTTCTATAAAAAAAATAAAAAAAAAAAGAAGGAAAATTAACCCAACAATAAATTTAGCCTTATGCCGGATGCCACTCCCGCCGCCCAACTTGTAACTCATCAACTTATAATTTACAATTTGTTTAGTGCTTTTTTAACATAAAAAAAAAAAATTCTTTAGGTTCGAATTACTTTTATATTATTTTTAGTTTGTAAATTTAATACTAGAATTGTTACATATAATTGTTGACAGTTTAGTTTGTGTTACCAAACTTGAGTGCCAAGCAAAGTCCTAAAAAAGAACTCGATATTAAGCAAATTTTAAAAACTAAATCTAGTTTGGATCCTAATGATATTTTTTCCACTAGTGACTAAGGGTCAATTTTAAGCGTTATTAAAAAAAAGGTGAGTTCAACAAAATAACTGACACACCCCGACCGAGATCGGAGCGTGCTGGCCGTCACACGAAAGTGACGTAGCCATGTGCACGTGCGGAAGCTAATAAAGTAATAAAATAAAGGTACGAATAATTAAAACTAGCATACAAGTCCTAGAACAGGTGCTAGCACAAGTGAAATAATAATTCAGAGCAGGTCTATAGCAGTCCAAACGAAACGACAATAGTGGTACGCTCGAAGGCGACCCTACAATGGTGAGTGTCTGTCAGAAACGCCGAAAAGCCCTCTAGGGAAACCACCGCAACGGCTAAGCAACTAGAACCTGGAGGGGCGCAAAACAAAAGCGTGAGTGGGCAAAAACAAAGCTTTCGAAAACCATTTATAAAAATACTTACTAACCCCTCGCCGTAAAACCTGTATACTTCCCAGAAAATATATATACGCATAGTACATGTGCTAAGCATGCTCAAATATATGCCATATGCTCGATAATATGCCATGCCGACATCTCATAAAGATATGCAAGTGCTCAGGTATAATCATATCAACATCGTGTAATCTGGCAGCCGGAGTCACCTAACGTGACCTGTACGGCTGCATATAGAGCTCTAATCTCAATCTCAATATCTGAACCTGACCACGAGTCGGAACCACCTAAAGTGGTCTGTACGACAGGACTGGGTGTAAATAAGTGCTACGATCACGTGAAGCCTGGGCGAATAATCGCGGGTCACCTACGAGTCGGAACCACCTAATGTGGTCTGTACGACAGGCCTGTGCACCTAGCTTGGATCCAAGCTGAGCCTAAGGTGCGAGAGGTGAACATCACGTGAAAGCCTGTGCCCTGCTCAGGGCGGGAGCACTAACACCGGGGGTGCAGGTTATGAGCTCTCTAAACATCTCAAACAACTGCTGAAAGTAAATGCGAATACCACTTACCTGGCACTTACCTGTGCGTCCACAGCACCCAATATGCATATATATATGTATGCCACTACTAATGCGTGCAATGATGCATAAACGATAATAATAACATGCATGGCATAAGGCAAATAACCCTTTTTAAATCAATTTCTGGGAATATAAATGTATATAGGTATATACGGAAAACAAAAGCCCACTCACTGATACGTGGAAGGGTCGTAGCCCCCCTGCCTCGCGTGACCACGCTCGTCCTCGGGGTACGTGTCACCTAAATGCGAAACAACTATAAAAACGTTATCTTTAAAGCACATAACCCATTTCTCGTAAAAACTTCTCATACAATGCTCAAAATGGACATATGAATATACCAACGTGCTCTACACAACCTCAGGATCACAACCATAATTTTAAAATAATTTTTGGACCCCGCACGCGCCCCCACGCGCCGTCCTATGCACGGCCCTACGCGCCTCCCACGCGCGGCCACGTGCACTGCACACTGACGGCGTCAACTGACGCCGTCAGGAATATTCCTTTAACCTGACGGAATATTCCGTTATACTTAACTGACGCCGTCAACTGCCGTTAGGAATATTCCGTTAAGTCTAACGGAATATTCCCCTTTCTTCTCCGGCGAGACGCCGGCGCCGGCGACGGCGCCGGAAAACTGGGTAATTTTCAAACTAAGTTTTCTCCTTCGTTTTTCAACCATTTTCCACGATCTTTACACCAAAATGAAGCTTAGGACTAGTAGAACAACGCTAGACCAGTTTTAAGGCCTAAAAAATCAAGGAATTATACCTGTCTTCAAGGTCAAAACTCGGCCAACTTTGCACAGGACGATCCCGACGTCCAAATTCACCCAACGAACCACTCCCAAGCTCCTGGGAACCTCACAAACATAACCACAAGCTCAGAAATCCCTAAAACTCAAAGTACAAACTTTGCATGAACAGTACAAAAATCGGCCATTGTTGAATCGACGTGAAAACGATGTGTTTCTCACCTGAAAAGGGTATGGCTAAGCTTGCCTCGACCTCACGAGTTGAATGGTGTCCTTGGTTTCCTCGATCTGTGATGATTTGGGTGGTTTTGATGTTTGTCCGTACGTCGAAGGAAGAAGAGGAAGAAGAAAGGGAGAGAGAGAGAGAGACACGGGACAGAGACAGAGAGAGGGTGATGAGAGACAGTGTAGGTGCAGGTGTGTGTGTGTGTGGCCCAACACATGCCACCACACACAAAACAACCCCACAATGTGACGAAAAACACACTAGGGGCAAAATGGTAATTCCACACGTACGTTTTAATAATCCCGGGACGGGATGTCACAATAACCTCGAGAGATAAGTTTAATCGCGTGAACTACAAGGGCTTTGTAAAAGTCTATCTTTTCGTTGCACTTATTGTAAGCGTTACTAAAGAGGGTTTCAACAAAAAGAAATTTAAGGGACAAGTTAATTGCGTGAGCCACAAGCATCTTGTAAACCTTTGTCTTGTCGTTAGTACCTATTTTAAAGCGATACTGAAAATGAGAAATTTAACAAAAAACAATTTGGAGAAACAAGTGTATCACGTGAGTCAAACGCCTTGTAAACGTTTGTCTTTTCTCTAGTACATATTTTGAAAGCGTTACTGAAACCTCAAGAAACACGTGAGCCACAAGGTTTTTAAACCTTGTCTTTGTGCTAGCACTTATTTTAAACGTTAAAAAGAGAAAATCAACAAAATAAAAGTTTGAGGCACAAGTTAATCACGTGAGCTGCCAAGCGCCTTACAAAAATCTCACTAACACCTATTTTAAAGCATTACTGGAAAAAAAAAATTAACAAAAAAAAACTTGATGAGACAAGTTAGTCCCCTAATCCGCAAACACCTTATAATCGTTTGTCTTTTCGCTAGCACCTGTTTTGAAGCGTTACTGAAAATAGGAATTTAAAAAAAAAACAAATTAATCATGTAAGCCACAAGCGCTTTGCCAAAATCCCTCTTTTTTGGCAAGCACCTAGCATACGAAGTGTGGTGGGAAATGGAAAGAACTTGCAATGTGGGCATCACTTTATTGTTATTGGGAAACTTTCACGTGTTTGCTAAATTGTATACCGCTAGATTATTATACCTCCTTTGGATGTCCCAATTTCTCTTCAAAACAATGGAGATTGGCTTTGATTTCTTGTCATTAATTTGTAGACCGAGGATATGGCAATATATCTTGTTTGTCATCTCAAAGGAAGTGGAGGAGCTTCTTTCTTTCACGCCGAAAACATATCATGTTGTATCAGTTAATGGTTCAAGGAAACCTAAAATTCATGGAGAACTCACATTCCATGCTAGTCCACTATGCCATTTGCCAAAGGTCGTGTCCTGCAGGAGCAAAACGGATGGTTGCGTGTGTCAAACAAGGTAGTCTCTCGTACGGTACATCAGTTGTGGTTGAGCGTTAAAATGTTCGCTTAGATCGTGAAATACTTGACAGTAACTGCTCATGCTTGTAGCTCAAGATGCAGATTCAGACTCAAAGAGTATAAGAAAATGTTTGAATAATCTGGTACATCGATTTTGAATCGAAGAACATGATCTGCAGTGCTTGATTTCGGAACTTGTCCGGCAAGAAATAGTTTGGTGGCCACAGGATTCATGTTAGCTACTTGGGTAAGCCCTAGTATTGGTACTGCTACTGCGACAGCTACTGCCGATTCTTTTTTCTTTACATTTACATTTTGGTCAGCCAAATTTAACCATTGTTAAAGTAATGATGGAACAACTGTCTTGTTTCTGTGGAAGTAGCTCAATTCCATAAAGGTGGTTAAACCTCATACCGTTCACAAAATTCCGTCCGGGCTGAAGCCTATCGGAAATCTGAAACTGCCATCTGCGCGTGAGGTTGGTGGAGCACGCACACGAATTAGCAAGCTGCAGAAGATGCATTTGTTGGATTAGATCGGTAGGTTTGATGAATTTTCCGGATTTTCGAGTTTGATGTTCATGTTTCCTAATTTGCTGCTGAATCTGTTTTCAGAGCAGCTATGAAGAAGGAACAATGATGGAGTTCCCTGGTGTTTTATCTTCGAAATCAAATCGAACCTGCTCGTAAAACCTAATAAAAAATCCGAGCGAAAACAATGAAGTTTCATAGAGAAGAAAATAGGCTACAAGTTACTTCCTTTATACAAAGAACCTTCAATCCAAAGCATAACATGGGAATGCAAACTTCATAATAATGTCGAACTCCCGAAACCGCTATGCACTGAGATTTGTAGTGCAAAGCTAGAACAAGCAAAAGGCATATGGCCAAATAAAGCATAAGATACAGAGCAGTCTTACCATACCATCTATAAAAATCAACATATCAATCTGATAAATTGTATGAAAATATAAAAAGGAAAAGGGGAAGGCTGCTATCTTTTTGCCCTTTTTTTTCTTAGGGTGGGGGTTTAAATACCTAAAGGGGTGAAGAAAAAAAAAAAAAATCAGATTTCATTCAATAGATTTCCTCGATGGAATCTAGTTAAAATAAACAATGAAACAGTAAAAAATGTTTCTTGCATCTATCATCTGAATGCCTGCATCAGGTCAACAGATGCTCTCTTTCGTTCCAGGGAGAGGGACGAAGGCACACACGGACCTCGTGTTCTTCTGGTCCCACTCGACGTTTGGGCACCATAATCTCGAGCATTGTACCTGTCTCATCGCAGTACGCTTCCAGTTTACCATCTTCTGGAATGCGGGTAGGAAGCTCAATTTCCCTCACAAATTCCCCACAAGGGCAGTGCTCCGGTGTTGGATCTGTTAGCTGAAATGTTCTATCACGTCTCTTAATGGATGGCAAACAAGCTGTACTCACGCAAGATATCTTTACAATCCCACGTGAAGGAGTATTCCTCCAAGTAACTTTTACCCTCTGAAGATCTACAAATGGCAAGCTGACAATGATCAAAAACCCTTCCTCATCCTCATAAATTGTTTTTGCAGCTGTAACAGGGCCGGATGCTTTCTTCATCACCCCACTGAACTCATTAAACCAATGTGACTCAACTGGGTGGACTGTGCCAGCTCTGTCGAAATGTGGGTTATTAGGTAAACAGTCATTGTCATTCCCATGGGGGAAAAAGTCCTTCTTCCGCTTGTTGCAGACCGGTGACAGGTCCATTCCCTCGTGGTTGACATGCTCTGATGGCTGAGTTGACAAATTCAAACCCGTACCATCAAGCAATTTTCTTGGTTGTGAATTTCCATTGTTCTTTGGAGGGGCAGGCCTTTCAAGCTCCAAATCTGTGTTCTGAAGGTTCCTCCAGGTACCAAAGTCACTTGCTTCAGGTGGGATTGAGAAATTTATATCTCGGCCTGTAAGCTCTGCCCACCTCTTCCTCTCTTCTTCATCAAGACACATGAGGTTGGGTGACCGAACAACTTCTATCCCATGAACACACTGCGGGTTAGAAAGACCCCTGTAGTGCTTCCTCTGCATACGATGAGACCGAACAAAGCCCCTGTCCACACTAAATGGGAATGGACGTTCTCCTTGGCGAGAATGCCCATTCATGAAGCTCCTCAGCTGCATCTTCCCCAATGCATTTTCAGGCCTATCCTTGAAAACCCACATATACATGTTCTCCATATCATGCTGAACCAAGAAAGCATCCAACTGCAAGTCTGTCTTGTCGTACCCAGAGACCCCATTACTGTCCCGAATGACCTTACACTTGGACTTCTCATTCAAGACAGGCTTGAAGTAGAAGCTGAAGAAAAACCATGCACCCCAAACGCTATCAAGCCTCTTGTTGCATTTCCTTGCAACTTTGGGGAGAGTGATTGTCGCCTCAGCCTCATAAACTTGAGACCCAAGGCCTACATCTAAGATGTCACATGAATCATTCCAAGTTTGGGGAGGTGGGCTAGGCTCAGACAGTAGCGGGAGATTGATATCAGGAGGACGAGAAAGTATGAAAGTTCGATTCATCTCTCTTTCCAATTCATCATGCGACACAGAACCTGAATCCATAGACAATAATGTAGACAAATGAGAATTCTCTATGGACAGGGTAGTGAGAAGAGCTTCCCCCATGATTTCCCACAACCTTTCCCTTCTCTCCTGCTTCCAGGTTTCAATCTCTAAACCCGCTTTTCAAATAGAATTACCTCACAAACATCTCAGCATATAGAAATGAGCCAACAAATCCATCTTAAATTCCACAACTTCAACTAATCCTTAAGACTCACCCCCACAAACAGATCTTCCAAATTTTTGCAGGCCCATCAATCAATCCATGTCACATTGAACTACAATTATTGTTCTCAAAACAAAAACAACCTGAAATCCGTATCATAAAAGTGAAAATCAATCAGGACTACTACTCCCAGAATTAAACCATTATATGCAAGAAATTAACTTCAGAAAAGCTTATCCCTTGTTTGGTTTCTGAGAAAAAGGAAAATAAAATTAAACATGATTTAAGCCTAAAATTTCTCTTATCCCTGCTCAATAAATTCCATTACTTTCACAAAACCACACATCTCAGCTGCATCAGAGCTCAAAATCCCCAATATCCAAATCAATAAGTTTCCAAGATCCAATTTTTAGTAATATTTTATTTTCCTACACTTTCTCAGCAACCAAACAAGGCGACCCAGAAACACAGCAAACCCAAGTATCTCATAAAATGTACCAAAAATGTCAATCGGAATAAAATATCCCAAAGGATAAAATCAGGCAAAAAAAACCCTAGCCCTAGAAAAAAAATTCCAAAAAAAATAAAAAAGACAAAATCAAAGAGATATTCGTTAGGTTACCTAGAAGGGAAGGCCTCGAAGCAACAGCTACAGAGAGAACTGCAATCAAAGCCCCAGTTTGGAGAAAAGAGAGAAAGAGAGAGAAGGAAAGGGGGAGAGAGAGAGAAGGGGGGGAGATAACGGAGTCTGTTTAAAGAGACGGAGTTAATCAGAAAAGACCTCCACCGGTTACATCACGGTGTAAAACCAAACGGCGTTTGTTAGCGGTAGCGGTGAATTATGTGTCCGAGATGCGTCAAAACAGGCGTCTATTGGGAAAATTTTTAGGTGTGACGGGAACACCATGACACGTGGTGTTCCCTCACACATTAGGATTTGACATCTTGAATATCTTTCAATTTTATATTTCAATAAATATAAAAAACTAAATCCTAATGTGTGAGGGAACACCACGTGTCATGGTGTTCCCGTCACTTGGAAAAATCTCTCCGTCTATTGGAGTTGGACCTTTTGTGATGGACGATTATAGACGCGGATAATCCTCAACCGGGTAAAGCCATACTTTGTTTAAACCGATCAGGACCGTTGAATCATGGTTTGACGGTTATGGTAGCGCCACATCAGATATGCTTTTTATCTTTTGATATAAATTTGCTCATTTTCCTGAAAATTGTAAAACCTTTTCTGTTTTGTCATTTTCCATATGGGTGTTTTTACTTCAAAAAGTCAAGTTTACCCTCACATATCAGCCAATAATAAATGTGTTTTGGGAAATGTCACTTATTACTACGTTCTAGTGATACTCCTCTTCATTTGTAAGTGAAATGTCTTATATACGATTCTTGCCAAAGGCGAATTTGAACCACATTATTGCTAGCTTATTGTAAGGCTAAGTCCACCTTACCTTTTAGTGTAAATAATATTGTTTATTTAAAAAAAAATTTCAAGAAATGATTTCCACATTATTTTTTTAGCTTTTTACAAACTGTTTTTTATTTATTGTCATCAAATTGAATGAATGAGTCAAATAGAACCGACTGCCATGATTAAACAAAAATGTATAAGAAACTAAAAAAGATGTGTTAAAATCACTTCACATATTTTTGTTCTTATAATGCAACATTTACGAGGGTTAAATAAAGGCAATTGAATATTAAAGACCGAAATCATAATTTATCCGTAAGCATTTAATAATCGTTTAACACGATGCAAAATTAACAAGTGTATTGATTCTCACAACTACAACAAAATAAGAAGTCCAAAAATATTTATCATTGCGCTAAAAAAATGATCTTGTAGACGAAGCATATACTAGTACAAGTAAATTTCAGTAATATGGGAAAACTTAAATTTGTTATGTGGTCAGTTATTTTGTTTCTTCGACTTTTGTGAACGATTAGAATCAGATTGTTGTCGTGACTTTTTCTTATAATTTATTTATTTTTTATATCCAAAATTCCAACCCCTTCTCTAACTTGTTGAAAAGATGATGCAAAATAGTATTTGGCATCCACAAACGACCACCAGACAGTCAACAACATTGCCGTTTGGGGAAACAGACGGTGTTTGAGTCAGTGTGATTCCTCATTATCCTTATCACACATGAAAATTGGGAAATTCGTAAACTTATCAATTATCATCACTCACACGTTACACGTATTACCTTTTCATTTCACACGTATCGTACACACATGACATGCATATACTTTTCAAGGATGAGGAGGTGCTGCTTCTTGGAGCCACCGCCAAAGCAATTATAGCGAGACAAGAGATATGATAGGGCAGTTGGATCCACGTCAAATCTTCTGCACTCAAAATTTTATGCGATACTTTTCAAATTGTAATACATGTTCACTGCTAACTTAGTTAGACAACGTTATCTCATCTGAAAATTTTGAAAAAAAAAAAAAAAAAACTAATGAAAAATGTTTAAAAATCTTGATTTTTAATGAAATGACAGAAAAATGTTGTAAGTAAATAGTATTATGAATGACTTTTTAGAATAAAAATATTTTTAACGTTAAAAATTAACAGTACTAGAACTGTTTTCGATAAGATTCCCAAAATAAAATCTTAAGGGAGGGGGTTGTGGTTGGTGGCGGTGGTCAGCGGGAGAGGGACGGGAGGGTACGGTGGACTGCTTTTTGTTGTCTCTTTGATTTTCTTATCACTTTTTTTTTTCTCTCTCTTTATTTAAAGTTAATTTTGTTAGGCCTAAAGTAGGTGGAGAGATGTTAAAATTTTAAATAAGAGACTGAGAAATCACATAAAATTTTAGATACGGAAGATTTGAACGTATTTGAAATCATCATTGGATATTATTTCACATATCATAATAAATTTACGTGTTTTTATTTAAATAAAAATTTGACTTATATTCTAAATGCACGGAAAAATTGCAACAGAGAAGAGAGTTTCACACACGTGTTCACAAGACGATGCTTCTCTTGTTCTCATGACCAACCGACCAACGTCTCTCAATTCTACTTATCAGCTATCACCAAGCACCAACCAGTTATTTGATAACACCTGTTGGACCTCATTACCATCTGATTCCTTTAGTGACTTTAAAACCGCTCATCTTAGAGATTGTATTTTGAACCAATCCTCAATCGAAATAAGTTGAAGACCTGTAGCTGTGAGATATTTAAAGAGACGGGTCATTGTTTCATTCTTAATTATGATTATTTTAGTGAGTTTAAAACAAACATCTTCGTGGGAAACAAATAGTTTGCATTTTGAATCAACTTTAATTGAAATAAGTTGTAGCGGTTAGATATTCAGAAAGACGGACCATTGATCCGCTCTTAATTGCACTGATAGTGTTTTTCAACTTGCATCTTGTCACCTCCACCAAACGACATGTTTGAGGGTTTACACAAAAAAAATCTCGACAGTGCTAAAAGTGAAACCATCTTATACATCGTAATCAACAGTGATAAAGTGAACACTTTCTTTTTCAAATACTTTGAGAAAAGATAAAAGTGAAAATGTTTATCCTATTATTTAAATACAAAAACTGAAAAAGAAAAATTATAAACAAACATCTGTTTCAACTGTCAACAAGTTGCTCACTTATTTCAATCGTCAATCAACTTCACTAAGACATTTAAACAATTTTCTCCTTCTGTTATTCATTCATTACCATTCGTCTTCGTGTTATGATCCGATGTGAAACTTTTTTTTTTTTTTGAACAAGCAATATTATCTACACTAAGAGAGAGGCGATAGGCTTAGCCTCACAATGGGTTAGCAATAATATGGTTCAAATTAACCATTGGTGAGAATCAAACCTAAGACCTCTTACTTATAAGTGAAAAGAAATATCACTAGACCGTAGTACTAAGTGGCAATCGGATGTGAATCATTTATCTAATTGAATTAATATATTAAATCAATTGTTTGATAACTTGGGTTTTAAGGTTGATTAAGTCCCCTAATACTATTACCACCACTCAAACAGCTGGCCAAGAAGAACTATAATTGTTTTATGCTCAATGTTTTCAAAAGAAAAGAAAGAATGAGGCTGTCATTTTTGTCATGGATATTGGATAACACCTTCCTATAAGTCAAGACACTTCCTGTGTGGAGACTGTATCTTGGCCACTTGTATACCCAATTGGATGTTTAATTATTGAATTCGGACCATTGGATGTTGTTTAATTGATTTCATAATCAATAATCATTGACTAAAAAAAAGATAAGCGTACTTATCCAGAGATTTTGGAGTTTGATAACAAGATAAACCCTAATAAATTTGGTGAGTTAATACGATACTAACTGGTTAATTGAGCTCACTGTATAGTTTGATATCATTTGAATTGTTCATAGTCTAGTTCAAATATCGTACTTACAAATATTCATTTAAATCAAATCTTGTTAAGCAGCTTAATTATTGTTGTAAACTTTTATTGTTCATCAACGATATTATGTTTATAAATTTTTTGTCTATTTAGTTGGTCACAACCAATATGAAATAACTAAAAGTTTGGTTCGAGTGAATTATTACAAGAATAGTCTTTTACTGATGACCAAAAAATAATTGATTTAAATCATGAGAAACATTGTGGGGTAGGTCCAAATGAGTTCTAGTGTCTTATTAATTGATTAATGCTTAATTAATTGTGAAAATTTCACTTGACATATAGGTTTGATTCTCATCAATATAAATTTCAAATCAAACAATTATAATTGCTCATTGTGCAACGTAGATGTACGAACTTTCTTAATATTATTTTTTGCATAGGAATCAATGAAATTAAGAATGGATTCCGAACTTTGGACATAACGTTAATTTTTTGTGCATATTGACCAAATTAGGCACATAATAACACAATGGTACCCTTGTTATAACCGCCTACTCTATATAATTTCAATGGCCATTTTAGCCAATTCACAGTCCTGTTCAAACTCTAAATTTTAACCATGGATTTCGTGATAGTCTGACCCCTTGCCGGACTCGGTTTATGTTCCGATGGCAGGAAAACCCCACAAGAAGAATCACCACGGCGTCGTCTGGGTCTTGTAATGCAAGAGGCCCCAGCCGCAAGCAGCAAGGAAGCCCAAAGAAATTGGGCCCAACGAAAGTATCAAAAGATTGTGGGCCTAGAGTTGGTGGGAGATTGTAAGTGTGCCTAGGCGAATACGAAGGCGGCGAAAATTTTTCGTACCTTGCCGGAGTGCATGCACTCGTTTCACGTTCCATGCATTGAAATGTGGCATCTGGCATCCGACTTGCCCGGTTTTTGGGGCCAACGCAACGCCGTTCATGATGGTCGTTCAACGGTTGTAGAGTTTCGGGTTCGGTGAGCCGGAGAGGTCTTAGGAGGGTCAAGAATTTTACAACAAAAAAAAAGTGCCATTGTTGCTGTGCACATTATTGCAACCAAAGCTTGGATGAGTAGTGTGTGATGGTGAGGTTTTTCAAATATTCCGCCCAGCGAATGCTTGTATTTATTTGTAATTAGAGATAAATCTCAATGTAACAAAACTGATCGGATGTAGCTATATTTAATGAATACGCAGCCTCACTCGTTATTCATTGAGTTGAGTATCTCATTCAAGCTTACAATCTACACTACAAACCTATACAATTTGTTAATATCTTTTATTTGTAAGTCACACAACGACACCACTTCTCATCGTTCGCGTTGTTTCATGCATTTTCGCGGATCAGTTCGACCTGCTTGTACCATGCATTATTTTATGGTTCATTCCTCTGTTTTAATCTATCCGCCCTACACACTCCGCACCAAACCTCTAGCTTTGTAGAACCTTCATATATTATGACTGCAAATAAGTAGTTGGTTAGGAAAGTGTGTTCTCCTCCTCGAACTCAACATGTAATTTAGAATCATTGTTATAGATTAGAGTAGTTTAAAACATCTACCGTCAGATCCATGTAATATAATTTACTGAAATTTAAGCGTGGTTTACTTGCGATTTAAGAGGGATTGCTTAATTTCGTCAACTTTCCAATTATATTAGTTTGAGAGAGTGATTTATGCACAATGTTGTTTATCTGTGCCATTTGAATTATATCCGGAGAATTAAAGAATATAGTACTAAACACAGGCATAAAAGTAAAAGGTGTGCGAAAATTATTTTTATTTAGAATTTGTAATTAACTTTAACAGCTATGTATTAGCCTCTGTGTTATGACCTGAAGAGGTCTGTATTTTATAAATGTTGTCAAACAGAAAAATATTCGACCATGTCTATTTACATTACCACATCTACGTTTATTTACCTTAAAATATTCGACCACTATTTGAGTAACTAACATTACCCACATCTACATCTATTTACCTTAAAAATTAAAAAAAAAAATATATATATATATATATATATATATATATAGATAATCTTTAAGGGAAGGGATCCCTATTTTTTTATAAAAATGGAGATTAGTTGTGGGGTCCACACTACATCGAACTTTAACGATCCGAACCGTCTATTTTTCAAATTGCACCTCATAGATCATTTTTGCAAAATATTAGCCAAATCGAAAATGTTTAATACATCTAATTGGGTTTCAAAGAAATTAACGAATACTTTGTTATATAAGAAAAATGAAATTTTATCTTAATAATTAAATAGGCAAATGGTTTTGGATTGAATTGAATTTTTGTAAGGATAATTTATGAATCGAGACTTACAAAATAGACAGTTCAGATCGTTGAAGTTCGATGTGGAGTGAGCCCCACACCTAATCCCAATTTTTGAAAAAAATGAAGATCCCCTTGCATAAAGGGCTTTATGTGTGTGTGTGTGTATATATTATATTCGAACTTTGGGTTCTAAGGTTGATTATGCGTCCACTAGCTAGTACTAAAGCATCTAGCCAAGAAGAAATATGTTTCTTAATGCTCTTGTTACCAAAAAGAAACAGAAAATATCGAACGAGGTTGTCATTTGTAGCTTGTTGCCACTTATTTATAATTAAAATGTAAAATTGAAAAGCGAATAACCCAGGAAATAATGGTGTCAATCGGCAAGAGCTTTGGACACGACGATAATTTTTTGTGTTTAGCTTACAAAGTTAGGCACGTAATAAGACAATGCTAACGTTGCTATAACCGCCTAATCTATATAATTTCAATGGACATTCCAATTCATACTCTGTTTAGGCTCTAATTTTCTACCATGGCTTTCGAGGACACAGGTTCTGAGTTGGCTTTTGTAATTGTTTCCGGTATATATCTGCTGGTGGCAGGCATATGTTTGTGTTGCAGCGGCTCACCCCGCAGAAACGTCCCCCAAGAAGAAGCAACACCCCGTCGTTTGGGCCCCGAAACGCAAGAGACTTCAGCAGGAAGCAACATGGAAACACAAATCAATTGTGTCCAGACGAAGTACCAAAAGCGTGTGGGTCTGGTTTTGGTAGGAGACGGTACGTGTCCCGTGTGCCTAGACGAATTCGAAGAAGGTGAATATCTTCGTACATTGCCGGAGTGCAGCCACTCGTTTCATGTTCCATGCATAGACATGTGGCTCTATTCACAACGGAGTTGTCCGGTTTGCCGTGCCAATGCCAAGCTGGTTACAGTGGTCATTAAGCAATAGTAGGGTTTCGGGTCTGGCGAGCCGGGGTAGTGTCACGAGTGTAAAGAATTTTGCAACAAAAATAAAAGGCATTGTTGTTATGCACATTGCAACCCAGCCAGGATTACTGTAGGATGGTGTGGTTTTTATGCTAATGGTTTTTGCTTTTTGATTTGGGGTGGTCTTAACATATGGTGACAAGTGACAACAGTCCGACGCCTGCAACCTATATATACAACGGTACCGAATGCAATGTCAAAAGAAAATGGGATTGCGGTTTGGAGGTCAACCCAAAACATATGTCAAATATTAGAGTGGGAAAACAGAGTTCAACAAATTTAGAGCTAAATAATGATCGTAGACACGCATTTCACGTTCCATGCATTGACATGTGGCTCTATTCTCATTCGACTTCCGACTTGCCCGGTTTGTCAGGCCAATGCAACGCCGTTCACGGTGGTCGTTCAACGGTTGTAGAGTTTCGGGTTGGGTGAGCCGGAGAGGTCTTAGAAGGGTCCAGAATTTTGCAACGAAAAAAAAAAAATGGCATTGGTGTTATGCACATTATGGCAACCTAAGCTTGGATGAGTAGCGTATGATAGTGAGGTTTTTCAAATATTCCGCCCTGCGACTATTTGTATTTATTTGTAATTGGACATAAATCTCAAATGTAACAAACCTGATCTGATGTAACTCTATTTAATGAATACGCAACCTCACTCATTATTCATTGAGTTGAGTTTATCCTTTTTTAAATAAAAGGGGGTTATTTACCCCTTTCTGGGGGTTGAGAAGATTCACAGAGACATTTCGGTCTTTCCCTGACTACAAGTCTGCCTTCTACACCAACATCGGGTTTCAAACGCGAGACCTCCAGTTTTTAGTTTGAAGGAAGCCTCGCAATCCACCCTTTACCACTGGACCACCAGGTCGTGGTTCATTGAGTTGAGTTTATCATTCAAGCATACAATCTACACTACAAACCTATACAATTTTTTGATCTCTTTTATTTATAAGTCACAAATGACATCACTTTCACCGTTTGCGTCATTCAGGTATTTTAACGGGATCATTTGCATTATTTTATGGTTCATTCATCAGTTTTAATCTAACGGACCTACAGGTAAGCTAGGCACCAGTTGAGCGTCAGGCGTAGCGCCTATGTACCTAGATGCGGCTTAGGTGAATTAGATGGATTTAAGTAATTTTGTTATCCGTTCCATAAATAAATGTCTATACACTTAAAAAAATTATACTTGTATTGAGAATTGAGTTTATTATTTTAATTAGGTTCATTATCCAACATATAACTTACAAAAATATCAGAATTTTTGCTTTAGTATTTTGGTGATGTTGATGGTATGAGATGAAAGTTCAAATGATTACGAGTTCGTAGTACTTTATGAAATATTTTTCAGAGGCCATATGAAGTTATATTGAATTTTAAAAGAAATAATGGCCGGTGTCAAACATGTGATATAAATAGTATTAGTTGAATAATGCACCACTTTTTATTAATTAAAAGACTTATTAATTGAAATGTCTCATGAAATTGTCATTTAGTTCAGTTTACCTCATAAAACTGGTTTTGTCTCAGTTTACCCTCTGAAACTGACATTTTTTTATCTTTTGGCCTCACTTCACTCCATTTCGCTAAAAACCAGTTAAATTCAAGGGTACGGTAGACATTTTACTTTTTTACACATCTATTTACCTCTAGCCTACACACTAAAACCAATCTTAATTCCATTTTTGACAACTCTAATTCAAACTCGAGAGTTTGAGACCTTTTTAGAATAAACTATTCAATCAATAGAAAAATTTGTAGCAACAAAATCATTATATCAACCAAAATAATGGTTACATTTTCTTCCTTAAAGTCATTTCACTTGCAAGGCATCCATGTTGACTCGAAACTTTGCACTTGAAAATTGCTCATTACAACAGAAAGAAAACATGATTAGCCTATTTCAAGATATCTTTCTAATCAAAATGGGCCTAACCATAAGCCCGCATCTACATCTATTTACCTTAAAAATTAAAAAAATTATATATATATAGATAATCTTTAAGGGAAGGGATCCCCATTTTTTTTATAAAAATGGAGATTAGTTTTGGGGTCCACACTACATCGAACTTTAACGATCTGAACTGACTATTTTTCAAATTGCACCTCATAGATCATTCTTGCAAAATATTAGCCAAATCGAAAATGTTTAAGACATCTAATTGGGTTTCAAAGAAATTAACGAATACTTTCTTATATAAGAAAAATGAAATTTTATCTTAATAATTAAATATACAAATGATTTTGGATTGAATTGAATTTTTGTAAGGATAATCTATGAATCGAGACTCACAAAATAGACGGTTCAAATCGTTGAAGTTCGATGTGGAGTGAGCCCCACACCTAATCCCAATTTTTTGAAAAAAATGAAGATCCCCTTGCATAAAGGGCTTTATGTGTGTGTGTGTATATATTATATTCGAACTTTGGGTTCTAAGGTTGATTATGCGTCCACTAGCTAGTACTAAAGCATCTAGCCAAGAAGAAATATGTTTCTTAATGCTCTTGTTACCAAAAAGAAAAAGAAAATATCGAACGAGGTTGTCATTTGTAGCTTGTTGCTACTTGTTTATAATTAAAATGTAAAATTGAAAAGCGAATAACCCAGAAAATAATGGTGTCGATCGGCAAGAGCTTTGGACATGACGATAATTTTTTGTGTTTAGCTTACAAAATTAGGCACGTAATAAGACAATGCTAACGTTGCTATAACCGCCTAATCTATATAATTTCAATGGACATTCCAATTCATACTCTGTTTGGGCTCTAATTTTCTACCATGGTTTTCGAGGACACAGGTTCTGAGTTGGCTTTTGTAATTGTTTCCGGTATATATCTGCTGGTGGTAGGCATATGTTTGTGTTGCAGTGGCTCACCCCGCAGAAACGTCCCCCAAGAAGAAGCAACACCCCGTCGTTTGGGCCCCGAAACGCAAGAGACTTCAGCAGGAAGCAACATGGAAACACAAATCAATTGTGTCCAGACGAAGTACCAAAAGGGTATGGGTCTGGTTTTGGTAGGAGACGGTACGTGTCCCGTGTGCCTAGACGAATTCGAAGAAGGTGAATATCTTCGTACACTGCCGGAGTGCAGCCACTCGTTTCATGTTCCATGCATAGACATGTGGCTCTATTCACAACGGAGTTGTCCGGTTTGCCGTGCCAATGCCAAGCTGGTTACAGTGGTCGTTAAGCAATAGTAGGGTTTCGGGTCTGGCGAGCCGGGGTAGTGTCACGAGTGTAAAGAATTTTACAACAAAAATAAAAGGCATTGTTGTTATGCACATTGCAACCCAGCCAGGATTATTGTAGGATGGTGTGGTTTTTATGCTAATGGTTTTTGCTTTTTGATTTGGGGTGGTCTTAACATATGGTGACAAGTGACAACAGTCCGACGTGCCTGCAACCTATATACACAACGGTACTGAATGCAATGTCAAAAGAAAATGGGATTGCGGTTTGGAGGTCAACCCAAAACACATGTCAAATATTAGAGTGGGAAAACAGAGTTCAACAAATTTATAGCTAAATAATGATCGTAGACACTCATTTCACGTTCCATGCATTGACATGTGGCTTTATTCTCATTCGACTTCCGACTTGCCCGGTTTGTCAGGCCAATGCAACGCCGTTCACGGTGGTCGTTCAACGGTTGTAGAGTTTCGGGTTGGGTGAGCCGGAGAGGTCTTAGAAGGGTCAAGAATTTTGCAACGAAAAAAAAAAAAAAGGCATTGGTGTTATGCACATTATGGCAACCTAAGCTTGGATGAGTAGCGTATGATAGTGAGGTTTTTCAAATATTCCGCCCTGCGACTATTTGTATTTATTTGTAATTGGACATAAATCTCAAATGTAACAAACCTGATATGATGTAACTCTATTTAATGAATACGCAGCCTCACTCATTATTCATTGAGTTGAGTTTATCTTTTTTTTTAAAATAAAAGGGGTTTATCCATTATTTTCAGGGGTCGGGAAGATTCATAGAGACATTTCAGCATTTTCCTGGCTACAAGTCTGGCTTCCATACCAACATCGGGTTTCAAACTCGAAACCTCCAAATTTTAGTTTGAAGGAAGCCTCGCAATCTGCCATTTACCACTGGACCATCAGCTCGTGGTTCATTGAGTTGAGTTTATCATTCAAGCATACAATCCACACTACAAACCTATACAATTTTTTTCTCTCTTTTATTTATAAGTCACAAATGACATCACTTTCACCGTTTGCGTCATTTAGGTATTTTAGCGGGATCATTTGCATTATTTTATGGTTCATTCACCCGTTTTAATCTAACGGACCTACAGGTAATGACGGATTCTAATAACATTGGGTGGTTATAATCAAGGTAAGCTAGGCACCACTTGAAAATTGCTCACTACAACAGAAAGAAAACATGATTAGCCTATTTCCAGATATCTTTCTAATCAAAATTGGCCTAACCATAAGAAAACATGATCAGCCTATTATTTCAAGATATCCAGTTGCGAGTACATAGACCACGTGACATCAACTTCTTCATCTATTCCTGATTATCTTTACCACAACTTGATGTATTGTTCCATCTTTCCTCTCAACTACTAGATTTTCAAAGGGAAACTTATTCAGTTACTATTAGCCGAAAGACTAGTATAAGAGAAAACACCATTTTTAGGTTTTCCATGATAACTCATTCATCTAATAGGGTTTTGGTTTTTTGTTTTTAATGCGACGATATATTCTATTTTTAATTTATTAGGTTCAAAGTTTAAAGATATTTATGTCTATTTAAGTGATATTTTGGAAAGTTTTATAAAGACTGACATTTTTGAAATTAGAAGCAAATATTTGGCTATATTTGATAAATACTCGTTTGAATGTTGCTGGTAACCTATACCTAGTTATCATGGTTTTGCTTTTTTTGTTTCCTTCACACAAGGGACAACATACCCTGATATCATGAAGAAAATTAAGGTTTCGCCATAAAATTAATTTGCAATATAAAAGTAGCCTAATTTTATTACTTTTACATGCAATGTCCCTTATTTTTTCGACATGAGATTCATACTCTCAACACGTGTAACATGGAATTCACCAATTAAAATCCCCTTAATTTAGAGGTTCAATACGTCCACGTTGTCTATTACAACTACTAAAGCATCTGCTCCAGGAGTAAGGTTAGATATATGAACTTTCATAGCATTTTCTGCATAGGAAAAAAATGAAATCAATTAGAATCATTTCTAAGCAAAGAGATTTGGACTCGACGTTACATTTTGTGCTTACGAAATTAATAATGAGAATAAGACAATGGTAACCTTGCTTTAACCGCCTATTCTATATAACATGAATGGCCATTTTAGCAAATTCATAGTCTCTTTAGACTCCAAGTTCTACCATGCTTGGGCTTTCTCTGGTCATACCTCAGGCTAAGGTTTTCGAGTCATCATGCGTGTGCTGCTATTGCACCAACTTTTTGAACCTCAACTTACTTTACTCGCTAGTATGCAGTAAGTTTGGTCATAGACTAATGGTTTCACGATTCATATCTCATATATTGCATAAGAATATGCGGGTCTCGTTTTCTACGAGGTTTTAATCAATCTAGCTTATGTTTATGTCATGCGGAATATATTTTTCTTAATTGAAGCTTGCTGAATGCTTGATTGCGTTGTTGATTGCAGAACTCGCCGTGTGACCCATGCTTGACACATTGCTGCTTGCATTGGTGCGCCTTGTGCCAAGAGAACAGGGAGATGAAGGGAGACCTCTCGGACAATGCTGTGATGCCAGTGAGGATTGGAGGCATCTTAAATTTAAAAAAGATTTCACTTCTAATTGGAGACATTGTTAATTTAAAAAGTTTATGGCTTCAATATGCAGGCAATGAAAGGCTTTTACTGTTTTCTTTCCCTCTCTATTCGATTTTTCCAATTGGTTATTTTGTAGAATGCTGTTGACCCTAAAAATTACAAAGCCTACGTGGTGCGCAGGTCGAGTAACTAATAAGCTAACTACGTCCTTCGGTTGAACGGGGGCGTGCCAACTCGTCGGTTGAGCTTGGCCGAGGAGTAAAATTTGTTGATGTTGCGTTGAGTGCATTGCTGACTTCATGATCTTACGATTGCGGCCGAGGAAGGAACAAATCTCAGCCTTTTGGTTCTCGAGCCTGAAGACAAGGCTGCTAGTTCTGCGAAGTTCAATATCGAATTCAGCTCTCAAGGTGTCGAATGTAATAACCTGGTAACACCTCACTTCGTCGAGAAAGCTAATGAGATGACCTCTGCCAATAAGGATTCAAAAATCCTTCTCGACCGAGACTTGGATAGATAACTAGTCGGCCTCGACGCAGTGCTGTTTATCCAAACTGAAGGTGCTTCGCAGTCGGCTGATTCTACGACAACAATGTTGTTTATCAAAACTGAAGGTGTTCGCCGATTGCCTTCACAGTGCTGTTTATCCAAACTGAAGGTGTGTTGGCAGAAAAAGAAAATAAAAAAAATCTCAAAGTGTTTGAAAGGTTTGTGCAGGACAGTTGTGTGTTGAATTGGAGGTCCCTCGAATGTCCTCTGCCGCTTTGTATTTATATGGACGTGCCTTGATGAACACACTGTGAATTTGTTGCCGTGACTTAGGAGTATCCAATCGGAATAAATATTATTCCTATGAATATTATTCCAAAGGAGCAACACACTTTGATAACTGTCATCCACCTATGATAACCATGCAATCATATCAATTTACAAGCACAAGGAACTCTTCCATAGCATTTTAAATAACCGTGCAATGTTTAGACCTATATTCACGTCCAAGTGCATGCATTTGGAATTACCATTCCAGATAATCTTCATTAAACTTCCACGTGGAGAACATAAAAAGCTCTTTTTTTCATGCCGTCTCATCCATGCAAACCGTTTGCAAATCAAATGTCACGATGTGATCCTGATCACCATCATCCACCTACTGCATCATTTCACCTTTATCCAATGCAAGCATTGATTTTAAATGAAATTAATTCATTCATAATTTGTATTGCCGCATGAGTCGTACAAACATCCCAAACCCGTTTGATCTGTACCTCCAAGTTCGAAATATGATTTGCCTCATCACTTATCTTTAAACAACCAGCTGGATATAGCTAATATTAGGCTTAGATAATCTAATATATATTAAGAGATAATATTATGATTAAAACCACAATATTATCCCTCAATAATAATTGAAAATCATCTCAACCACTTTATCATCCAGCGGTCTAAAACTTTACTCATCCAACGACCACGATTGCTCAGGCCGATGATGTAAAATCAGATCCAAGCAAATGCACATTGTTTTCTGGAAGTGGATAACCCCAAAGATGTTAGGTTTAGTCACACTACAGTATAACACAGGTCAATTGAAGGTAAGATGCCTTAAATAAGTTATGTTAGTATTATATAATCATACTTCTTCAGGTTTTTGTTATATGGAAACATTACATATTTATGGCATCAATGTTCTTTTTCTCAGCCGAGGAAAATTGTTAGAAATTGCAGAACTGTTGGGATCTTTTGCTACCATGTTTGAGTTCCTACAACTGAATCCCATATTCTTGAATCTTGCCCATTGAGTTGTTGCCGCCAACCCTCTAATTGTCAGTCTCTATTTATATTCAAACTTGTACTTTTATTCTTAATACATTCAATTTATCCTCATAAACTATTGTGGGAATTATAATTCCCAATGATTGATATTGTGAAACAACTCTGCTGCTGTACTAGTTTTGTTTTCCTTCTCTTTTTTGTTTATAAAGTTCACAATTTTTCAAAAGAGACAACCCCTCTTTTAAAGCCACTACTGCTTCTCAATGTTAATCTTGTTTTTCTAGAGGCCACAATTGGTGAAAGGAAATTTGCAACTGTTGTCCGCGGATTAAATTTTCTTTTTCTTTTACTTGCTACAGCTGCTGCTCCACCGTTATTAACAGCCGTTAGCGGCGGTTGTTGGTCTTTGGGATTAGGTGAAATCTATTGATGAGCTAACTCAACTCTCTTCAGAACACAAGGCAGCCGGCAACCGCCGAAAGCCAATCACCGTGTCCACTGAAAATGTTGCAGAGTGCAGGAAGTTACGGATTTTCTGAGTTCTGAAAGCGAATTGAGAGTGCTGCAAATCGGAAATGATGTTACACGAGGATGTGCCTTTGGGGACAAGGAAGCGAAGGACGATACATATTGTTGTATAGTTACTAAGTAGTAATTATGTAAAGGCTGGTAGAATTGCATTTGTTTATTCTTTTTGCTCATTGTTGCAATAAGAAGTATAAGACGAAGAGAAATAACAGGTTGGATGATATGAATTAGGATTTGCTGTTGTGGGTTCTTCTTGGTTGTGTCTCCTTTTTTTGTCACCCATTTCAAATGAGCCCAAAAAAGAAAAGACAAGAAATGGGAGTGTAAAGGAAAACTAGAACAAGAAAGAACACGTTCTAGTTTGGTTTTGTTGTTCCAATATAAAGTTTTCATCTTTGTTTTAGTTTGTAGGTAGAAGTTGAAATCTGATTACAAGAATTGTGAGTATAAAGGATAAGTGGCTCAAATTCACCTCTTATATTTTTTGGGTTTGTTTCTTTGATTTCTCAAAAAAAATTTCCAAGAATCGCTTATATTTAGCTTTGTACCTCGGTTTATCGATTGGGATTATGCTACTTTGGTGTTGGATTGAAGCAAACTAAATCAGTTCAGTTTAATATATTCTAAGCCGGTCTAGCTTAGTTCCAGAAATTACTCCAATCTAAGATAGTCTGGTGCTACAAACGCAGCCTAGGAGTACTCCAATAGTGAAGACATCATGTGAGTCGTGAAAATGCTTGTTCCTATTTCCTTGGTCAATTTGTTTTACGTTTTTGTATTTAAGTTGTAATATGTATGTTGAATGATGATGCAAGTTGAATGAAGTTTTTTTTTTTTTTTTTGTCAAAGTATTATTTAGGTTCATACGATAGTTTTCTTTAATTCAACAGAAATTGCATCGATATTTGTTTATTTACTTGTGGATCATACAACCTAACTCATTAAAAGTAAGTAGCATATATACAAAACATACACCCCAAAATTTATACCAATTCTCATTCTAGGTAAACAACATGCATGTGCCTTAATTAGATGCCCATAACACGAAAAACTAGCAAATGAATAAGGAAAACTGTAGTCAATTTTAAAAATAAATTTTGAAAACCCGCTCGAGCAGTGGCGAAGTCACATAGATGTCAGGTGAGGCCTAGGCCCATCCCTGAATATGCTGGTAACCTAATTCACTATGAAGAAAATTAGGGTTTCGTTATAAAATTAATTTGCAATATAAAAGTAACCCAATTTTATTACTTTTACATGTAGGATCCCTTATTTTTTCGACGTAAGATTCATACTCTCAACACATATAACATGGAATTCACCAATTAAAATTCCCTTAATTTAGAGGTTCAATACGTCCACGTTCTATTGCAACTACTGAAGCATCTGCTCCAGGAGTAAGGTTAGATATATGAACTTTCATAACATTTTCTGCATAGGAAAAAATGAAATCAATTAGAATCATTTCTAAGCAAAGAGCTTTGGACTCGACGTTACATTTTGTGCTCGTGAAATTAATAATGAGAATAAGACAATGGTAACCTTGCATTAACCGCCTATTCTATATAACATGAATGGCCATTTTAGCAAATTCATAGTCTCTTTAGACTCTAAGTTCTACCATGGTTTCCGGAGAGTCTGAATATGGTCCTGCACTTTTTCTCATCATTCAGCTTGTGGTGATCATAGCCATCTGGTGGTGTTACCGTTGCTGCTGCGAGAATATTCCCCCTGAAGAACCGACACAACGACAATTGGAAGATGATGAAATGCAAAAGACCACAGCAGCAAGCAGCACAAGGACTACTACTGCTTCACCGGTAATCCAAAAGTATGAAAAGGGTGTTAGCCTGGTAGGAGATGGTACGTGTGCTGTGTGCATAGAAAAATTTGAAGAAGGTGAATATTTTCGTACCTTGCCGGAGTGCAACCACTCGTTTCACGCTGCATGCATTGACATGTGGCTCTATTCTCATCCGAATTGCCCAGTTTGCCGCGCCACTGCTACACTGTTCACGGTTGTCGTTCAGCGGTAGTAGGGTTTCTGATCTGAGCTCGATAGTGCCACGGAAGAGTAAACCAAATTTTGCACAAAAAAGACATTGCGTTGTTTTGTAATTTCAGCCGGGGTACGAGTAATTTTTTATGCTTGTGCCGAGGAAGGTAAATATAATCCATACCTAGAAGCTTGAAAACTCATGATATTCCTCCATGAGAGTGACTATTGGGTGTATTCCGTACTTGTTCATCGGAAACTGATGTCTTAGACATCAAACGAAGGCCTTGTTGGAATGATTTGAGAAATGTGTTTTCATTAACAATGCTTTGGTTTGAGAGCTTTCATCTTTCACAAAATTGAGAAAATCACTTACTAAAAATTGTAAACTTCAGGCGCAATTAAGAAAAAATACACACACACACACATATGATAGATCAAACTAAAACTTCACTCAAACCATAAGGTTGGTTAACATCTACTATTAGTCTATTACAACCTATATATGCAGTATCTGGTCAAGGGAAAAATGTTTGGTAATGCCTCAAATTAAGATTATTTCACGAGTATGATTTTTGAGCACCCATTTTTTTGTTCTAGACATTCTATATATTATGTCTCTTGATTCTCCTTTCGCAGACTTTGTTTATTATGTCTCTGCAAATAAGAACAGTTAAAACTCTTGTATGGACATTCACGTCTTCAATACGAGACAATGGTATTTGAAGTTTGAACCATAAATAATTCCTAAGAGTGTCTTGACCATTTATAGTCCCCAAAATCTTTCATTAGGTGGTGCATAATCAGTGGCTAAAACAAGATAAGCAGTATTTATGTATATCTTAGGGAAAATGTTAGGAAGACTATGTTTTTAAATAAACCGTATTTTGTAGATTATATGATGTGGTGGTTGATGGTTGGTTTCTTATAGTACTATATTTATCAACCGCCACATGCATTATGTAGTTTAAAAAATATACTTCAAGTAGATAATCTCGTTAACATCTCCCATATCTTATTAGTCCCCATATGATCATTTGTGGATTCTGGTGTGTCATTATGAGAGCCTTGCATGGCTTTCACGTAAGTAGGAGATGGTTTAATGCATAAGAAGTCCATTTTGCTCTATCACATTAGTGCTAGAACTGAACCAGATAACCCAATAAAATTAATTGTGCTAGCTACGGCTGCCTCCATTAACATCACTTTCACGAAATTGGTACACTAATTTTATTTCAAGTTTAATTAGTTAAGAACATTTACCCTTGCACCTGATGTATGAATTCTCATAATATTATTGGTATAAAACTGAAAAATTTTAGGACCAACAATTTGCGTGCTTCAAAAAAGCCGACTCAGTGCTCCACAATAAAAAAAGAGGCCGACTCAGAGCTTCAGGTCGTTCCATCTTCTCATCTGTCTGTGTAGGCACATAAGACAAGTGCAAACCTTGATATAATCGCCTTTTCTACGTATAATTTCAACGTCCATTTAAATTCCTTGGCATTACACACGACTTTCCACCATGGCTGAAAGCCATAACCTTGTCTCTGATCCCAGATTATATATTCTTCTAGTTGCTCTGAGCTCGGCTGTGCTTGTTGTCACACTCTGCCATTGCGCAGTCATTTGTTGCTGCAACCGCAACACCCCAACCGCAACAAACACGACGCCGTTTGAGGCCTGAAACCACGGGGCTCACAGATGGCAGCATGTGGCCTTCGTCAGCATCTGAACTCATTCCGGCCAGGAAGTATCAAAGGGACGTTGGCTTGGTCTTGGTGGGAGACGGTATGTGTGCTGTGTGCATAAGTGATTTTGAAGAAGGTGAAGAGTTTCGTACCTTGCCGGAATGCAAGCACTCATTTCACGTTTCATGCATTGACATGTGGCTGTTTTCTCATTCAAGTTGCCCGATTTTCCGTGCCGACGCCACACTCTCATCCCTCGTAGTTCAGTGTTTGCCTGATTTAGAGTCTGGTAACTTAGAGAGCCGATAAATTTTAGTAAAATTATCTGAGTGTCGTGTATAGTCAAATAAAAACAAAATATAAGATATGGTGGTTGTGACACCACAATCAAAGTTCTTCTGAGGCCTTAGCAGCCAATAATTTGTAAGGACATTGTAGTTATGCAATCTAACTATTGGATATGATGGTGAGGTTTGTCCTCTAATTATTAATGTATTTACCTTGCGATTGAGGCCATGAAAAGGGGTGATTGCTCAAATGGGCTTTGTTTTGGGCTTAAAAGGTTGCCACAAAAAATGGGCCTGTAATTTGGAGATCCAACCCAAAACAAAAAGTACAGTGGAAAGCCAGAATCCTGGTAAAATTCCAGCTTCTCTAGGGTGCCATATATTTACGAGTATTTTTACCTCCATTAAATACTGAAAATAATGTGTCTACTTGTGAGAAAAAAAAAAAAAAAAAAAAAACTACTGAAAATAATGGTTGGTGACATGCATGGTTTGAAAAATGCCAATGGGACTTTTTCAAAATTAGAACTCTTCAATTTTTATAGACTTTCTGCTATCTTATGTTTTTAGCACAGTATTTTATGATGTTGATAAAAAAAATTGATTTTAACTGTAAGATGGCAAAGAGCTATAAAGAGTCTAACTTTGCAAGAGTTTCTTTAACATTTCTCTTTATTTTACCACGGTCCTTGGATCCCAACTTTCAAGAAAATATTCTTGATTGATTGATTGATTTAGTTTTTATCAGTTGAGATTTCGTTGATAACATTTGTCCAAACATCCTTTTTACGTTTAAGTTAATTCCAGTTTCCAACATTTGGTATCAGAACCCTTATGGGTCTGATGATTCAGACATTTCAAATTTCATTAAACGACCCACATGTTTTAATTCCTTAGAAGTTGTGATAATTTTGGACCGTTAGATGAAATTTGAAAAACTTAGATCACTTGATCTATGACCGTGGTGGAAGATATCCGGATAACCATATGCTTACTTAAACCAAACACCATCAACTAAAAACAAATTTAAAATTTATGAAAGAGACTACAAACTCGAACAACAAACTTAAGTTGAATTGTTGCTCATTTTTCTGACTCAGCATGACGAATCTCGGCAAGCATTATATTATCTTATGATAATTAGTTAAGATACTGAAAAGTATTGAGTATTTACTTATCATATCAAGTAAAATAATAATTATTAGAACTCTACAAAGATCACATGCTGTTTTTTTGTTTGTAAATTACATATTAGAAATAACAAGTGTGAACGACTGCAAAACAACGTTTTTTAAGTGCCAGTACCAGTTGAAGATAAACATAATATAGTTTAGTTGAATTAAAGTCGTATGTTAATATTGTTTCACGTAAGAACAACTTATATAACATGAAACCAAGTTAAACAAGACATAATAATTTAATAATCCAATAGCTCGTAGAGACTTCTTTTCCTACAACACATGGAGTTGGACTTCGAGAATAACTTATTTGCTTAATAAAAAGCAAAGGGAATATGCATTTGCCAGAGAATTAGCCTCTGCAAGCTCTGCTAATTCCAGAACCGTCAACCAAGCGGGATATTTTTTAGTATGACTGTGACATAAGGTGGTACATCATATGTTCTTATATAAATGGTGAGTTATGTGTGTTAAAAGATTAATAACTTAAAAATTAGAATTTTACACCATTTGCATAAAAACACGTGATGTACTATCTGTATTTCTGTCACAATGAAAAATTTCTTCAACCGAGCTATGATTTAATGACAAAAACGACGCAGTTTCCACCCCTGGGACTTGGAGTCAAAGAGTCAAAGACAGAATCGCATAGCCAGCCTTGCTCTACAAATTCAAGACTCAGAAAAGCGACTCAACTTCTTTTCCTGTGAGCTGAGTTGCGTGAATGGATTAGACAAAAGCCAATTTAGCATCTAATAAAAAACGACCCGTCACTTTCCTTGTCTTTGCGTTCCCATGTGAACTTTCCCTCGAACAACGCCTCTCCTCTCCTCTCCTCTCCTTCACCCATATTTGCCTATTTGCCGACTCTCTTACTCTGCATTTTTGCATAGCTTCCCTGTTGTTTGTTTGTTCATTTCTTTGGTTTAGTCCTCTGCAATTTGCCAATTTTCTGGGATTTCCACATCCGGGTGGGCTTTTAGTATTGGTGGGTTTCAAAAGCGCTTTTGTCATCACGTTTCATGATTTAAAGGGTGATTTTCTCAGAAGATAAAGTCTTTTGAGAGATATTTTTAGCTGGTGGGCATTTGGGTATTTTCATTTGCCCCTAAAGTAGCCAGCAAGTTAAGGAGTGTTTGGTCACTGAGTTCCCACTATCTCGGTTTTTGGGTTTCTCCTGTGTTCATGGAAAAGATTGGAACTTTACAGAATTTTCCCAGAAAATTAACCTTTCCCTTCAGTTTCTTGGGCTTCTGGTGAATTGGGTAAAAGGGTAATGCCCAAAATTAACTGTGGTTGGTTTGAGCTTTTTTTGGGTAGTTTTGATGTGAAATCAGTAGCTTTCTGATGAGATTTGATGACAAAGATGAAATCTTTGAGCAGTGTGGGACTTGGGTTAAGTGTGGTTTTTGGCTGCCTTTTCTTGGCTCTGATTGCAGAGCTTTACTATTTACTGTGGTGGAAGAAGAGATTTACTAGCAGAGAGATTGACAGTGGCTACAGCAGCAGCCCACAGAAGGAAATCTTCTACATGTTCTGCTGGAGAAGAAGCACTTGCACTTCCTCCCGAAACCCCACAGGTATCTGTGCTTCTTTGAGAATGTCAGAAACCCTAGTCCATGAACCAAGCAGCAACAATCTGGTGCTCAAATCATTTGAGGAGGATGATTTGGATGCTGAGCTCATGAGGCTGCAGAATGCTGGTGGGGGCCCACCAAGGCACCTGTTCACAATTGTGGAGGAAACAAAGGAGGATTTGGAGCAACAGTCAGAGGATGGCGGGTGGAGGAGCCAGAAGGGTTCTAGGAGTAAGAGTCTTAGTGATTTGCTTATGGGATTTGAGACTCCATATCTGACACCTCTTGGTTCTCCAACACTTTTCACACCTCCTCTCACTCCCCCGCAGGGTTTCAGCCCACTCTTTGAGTCAAAATCTGATGCAGAATTCAACAGATTGAGGTCCTCTCCTCCTCCAAAATTCAAGTTCTTGCAGGTTGCCGAGGAGAAACTTAGAGTAAAATTGCAGGAAAAAGTTCAGAATATTGATGGAAATGCTGAGGAAGATGGTTCTTTCATCACAATCATTGTTGACAAGAACAACGAAAAGTGCCATTCATCAAGCACTTCACAGGTTCTTCCTTTAGTTTCTTCACCTTCAGGATTCAGATCAACAATTGGGAAGAAACCCAATTTACATTAGAGTTCGATGAACCAATTTTTTTGCTTTTTTTAAAAAAATTATTATTTGTGGGTAAGTTTGTTAAATTTGATTAGTAATAGAGGTTAATGTGGAATGTAATGAGTTCTAGTGGTGGTGGGGGGGACATATATTCAGGAACATGATGGTGTGAGATGGGTTTTCCTGTTAGTGGGGGACCTCGTGACTGTGAAGTTGCTTTGTTTTATTTAGCCTTCATGTTCCCCTGAGTTGTCTCGTACCTGTAATCTTCTTGTGACTGTGATGATGCTACACAACTGATGTTCTTGTCCTCTCTCTCTCTCTCTCTCTCTCTCTCTCTCGTTGAAACTCACACTATGTCACCTTGTCGGTATTTCAAGCCACCAAACATTATGCATCGCATGATTGCTTGAAATACTCTCACAATATAGAGAGGGACTTGGCAACAATACCTCCACAATGGAGAAAAATTTGCATGCACCTTCAAGATACCATTTTGGTATTATGGACCAATATTACAATGAACATGCGAGAACTAAAACACATGATATTATTTTTTTGCCCAAAACACTGCAATAACACTTTGCAGACCATATGCAAGTCTTTTTAACATCCCGTTTCATGAAAGTCATTCTCTTATCATAAACAATCATTGTTGCCTTGCCTTTGTTTTCTGGCATGTTTATGCCACTTGTTTTGGTAAATCTCAATATCTAGGTGGAATTCAATATCTTAGTACAGGTGACTTAGTGACATGACATTAAGAAAGCATCAACCACCTGCATTACAAGACAAAGTTGGAAAAAGGAAAGGGAAGAGTTGAGGTGATGCCTTATGGCCTTAGGGCATTTTCCCAAACAACAAAGATAAGCAAATTGCCCCGTGAAAGTGGCTTGTGCGAATTTGCCGAAAGGTGCAACGATCCATCCACCTCCACCTTGAAGAATCATGTAGGCTCTTACTTTTTTAGTATCCCCTTTGTAATCTTCTGTTCTGACTGACAGATTCGTGGCTCAAATCATGGCCATCAATGTATACAAACTCATATACTAAGGAAACAATCCGTATGTTCTTTTTGTTACATGTTTACTTACCAAGAATTAAGAGGTTTTAATCCTTGAGTTTCGTGCGTTTGCTAAAGTATAAGTTGGAAAATCACTTCACTTAACTTTTCTTTAATAAATACTAACATAGACTCGAAAAAGTATAAAATTCCTATTTTCTATTTCGAAGTTGTCTAATTCGTTCATTCTCTCATTTCCATTAGTAAACATGATCTATAGAGAATCAAATCTTAGACTGATCATAATCTCAATTCATCGCTACAATCTTTATCTCCCCACACTGCGTGCACTTCCTTTAATTTACCTTAGACTTTGGTTTTAAATTTATTCGTACTGTTTATACAGAACTTTCACCTTATAGCTTCATCATCTTTCGAATGTCAGCTAGCATACCTTGATTTTTGGGATCCACGTGGATAACCAATTTGGGGTTTGTCAATTTGGTATCAAAGCCAAAAAACACCTTACCTCATAGATAACCTGCGTTGTAACCAATTTTATATTTTATTGTGTCCATCTCTCCGTCATCTCCCTTTTATGATTTTACCTTTCGTTATAGGAAAATCTTTTTCACTCTTATTTTTTCTCATATACTAATCTATTTTTCTTTCGTATTCAAATAAAATAAATCAAAGAAGAATCGAGAAAATACAAAAAGAAGAGTGAATTTTGATTTCACAACTTTACTGTTCAACCATAACGATCATAAAGACTCTGTGTGTACAAAATTGAAACATGAGCACTTGATAGAAATGTAAAAACGTGTGATGATGATTGATGGAAATGCTATCACATGCTAAATATCAAGTCACTTGGAAAGAAAATTTACCACCCACTGCATGTGGCCAAGTAATTTACCTCTATTTCTATATTACTTGCAGTAAAAGGAAGGGTAAATTTTTTCTAATTTATGAAGAACACGGTTGAATACATGGAAACGCACAAAAAAATCAACCAGAAAGCCAACGTATATGAAGAAATATCAGGTCAGATTCCAATGGCAGCAATAGCAGACATTCCCAGCTCAACACAGAGTGGTTTCAGGCCGGGTTCTTCCAAGAGGCTGAATGCGGTAAACCCGTAATAGGAGTGATATAGATCTGGAAAGTCCCCCGGGAACTTGCTGAAACCACCGTACTGGTGAAAACACAAATACGAACATCAAAGTCGGGAGTCATAAGCAGTGCTATCAGCTTAGAAAAAAGTTTGACAGAAATCGGGGCACTTCCATAATATTGTATAAGTAGCCTAATTACAACATTCCTCTTGTTTACAAAAGATACTATTGCCAAAAAAAAATCAAGCACAAAAATCAAATTTATCTCGTCTGCATTTTATTGGTCCGTTATTTTTCCTAAGAACAAGAACTTATATCCAATTGCATTTCTAGTTTCTATCATCATAGCCTTAGGATCCTTCTATGTTTATGGAGATTAATCCAATAAATTTGTAAATTTGTATGCATGACCGAAGTAACAACGGATTTTCCATGACAAATCTGAAAGAAACTTCACATTCTCCCCTATCGTATCATAGGTTAATATGAGGAGAGATAAGCAAAAGCACCTCGGATTGACAAGTTAGCAAAAATCCATGTAGAGCCTTCTTGTCAATGAATTTGTGGCCCCCTAAAACCTTCAAAACTGATCCAATCCTGCACAAGCAAATTTCCATTGTCAGGGTACAAAATTCCAAACACGGCATGAAACGCCCAAAGGATGTTCATCCACCTACCAAAAGGCATAACATGTATCACTAGGCTTGTTGGGTCTACCCTGAAATCCACCATCAGCTGCCTGCTTCTGCAGTGGTACAAAAGAATGACTGAAAGTGAGAAATCTTTATTACGGGACGAGAACATAAAATTGCTTATCAGAATGCAAAGTCCGGGACCATTGTTTCAGATGCATCTACTTATTTGGCAGATTTTAAGGCTTTTAATGCCCACATGCCTGTCAAGTGTTTACTTGCAGGAGTGTTAAAAGCTTTACAATCTCAAGGGGAAAACTGGCAACGCTTGAAGATATTAGGTGAGGAGACAAACCTGCAAGCACCAATCCAGCAGCAATGGCACATTTATTATGGAAGACTCTGCATCTTTAGAAAGAATATCTTCTTCAATGAATCCCATTAACCGGAGAGATGTAACACTGCAATATGTTGCACCGCCTGTGTCACTAAAATGAATATTGTATCAAGAAGAAAAAGAAAATTTCAAACTTTTTGGGTTTACATCACGGGCTAGTCTAAGAAGAAATTATGCTGTTTTACTTTAGAAATACAAAAAACAACAATCGAGTAAAATATTAACAAGAAAGCAACTGGTAAGGAAATCGAAAAATGGGGACATTCATAATTGTTAGAACTCACCGTGAGATTCCGAACCAGGAGTCAACCCAAAGCCTCCATCGTACGACTGAAAGAACGAAGTCACTTCTGTATAAGTATATCTCCAAAATATATCAAGAATTGGGAAATTTACTGATTAAATGGAAGATAATATCCCAAGAGGATGATCGCATTTGCCATACAGACCTGGCAATTTATTATGTACGCCTTGGCTTTCTCCTTGTCCATTCCACTCCAATTTCCCAGCATATGACAAATGGCCACTGGTACATCAATCAGCTCAATTGATGCTACATTGTCAAGTATATTGAATTAAACGGCTTAAAAAGTAACTACATAAAAGCTTTTACCGTCTTACCAGCACAATAAATGAATCGGAGATCAGTCTCGGCCCCTGTATGTATAGGCATAAAACTGCCAAAATCAGTCGAAAATACCAGGAAATTAGTCCAGCTAACTCATAACATCCCCTAAGACATGGCTATAAGCTTTCCTGTAAACCACAATACCTCCCATCAGACTGTTGAAGGTTTCTCATTGACGTTAGTATCGACTCAGAATCAATACTGGACAAGTCATAGCCGATGATTTTAAGTATCGCCACAGCACAATACGTGCTGGCCAAGTTACTGACACTGCGACTTAATAAAGCCTACATCAAAATCAAACTAAATAATTACTAACCGGAAACACGAAAAAAGTATATCATTCAATGCTCTTATACTAAGAATTTGCTTAAACTACACGAAATGGTTAAAACCCGACAGAAAGCTTAAACAATAAATAAACTAGTTCATAGTTTCATACCCCATTGTCATTATCCTCTGAAGGAAATTGTGCAGATCTGGAACCATAAAATCCATAGAATTGTCCTACAACAAATCAAAAGATCAATTTTTTTTATTCATTTAAACTAGAATTCACACTTAAATGAAAACAATTTAATTCAATTCGATTCGATTCTATCGAATTCGAACTCAAAAATACAAATCGCCCCATCTACCGTTGTTCAATTCGGACTGGCTTCTCGGGTGAGCTTGCAACGACAGAACCCACTTGGCAACTGCTTCCTTGTCAACCTACCAAATCAAAGATTGCAACTTTCTAAATCATTTATTTCAAATTTGAATTTCAACAACGAAAATTGACTAACGACGACATACGAGGCGATTGGGGGCGGCGAGGAGGTCGAGGCCGGAGATGACAAAGTAAGCGAGAGTGAGGCGGTTGATTTCCTGGGACTGGTAGGGGGACGGCAGCAGCTGGTACATCATCTGAAGAAACGTCACGTGCCGGTCACGCTCGAAAATCTCCGAAGCCATGGCCCGATTTTATTGGACGGAGACGGTGGAGTTGGAGATCGGAGATCCTACTGGTTACTTGGGTTTCTCCAACCAGCTTTTGGCTTTTAACTGCGGAGGTGTACGGCGTACGAAGTCGACGGCTGAGATACGTTGAGTCCGTTTCTAAAGCGTTTTCGGATGTCGTCATCTACTCATCTTCGAACTTCAAACAACCTTTTTCTTTTTTCATTTTTTTTTTTCGCGGAAAATAATAAAGGACGCCCATATATCATGATTTTCTTTTCTTTTTTTTGAAAGTGGAATACATCATCAATTTTAACTTTAAACCGAAAAAAAAAAAAACGAATATATATAAACTTAAAATATACTGATTTATTTAGTAGGAGATTAACTATTAGATTCACCCTTAGATTGCTGAAATTTAATCATCAATTTAATTACTCCTTCGTAATCACACTTAAGGACATAATTCTACGTAATGGAAGGACAACGGGTAAAATTAAAATATTAAAAGGGATTGAGTTTATCGAGAGAGGATCATCGGCGGATCCTCTAATCACATTCGTTTATCATACATCGTACGATCAGTTTTCATCGGTTCCTGTTTATATTCAATTTTAAATAAATAAATTGACAATAATTTCTGATTACATGATATACAATGAACATATGTGATTTGAGAATTCCCGGAATCCTCACAAAGAGAATCTAACAAGAATCCTCATTCGAGTTTATCAACTTCAAAAGGGAATTGTAACAGTGTCACATTTCAGAAAAAAAAGCTATTTCCATTTGTCACCTAAACTAAAATTTGAGTGCAATATGACTCAATTTACTTTCTTCTCGTAAAAAGTTGTGTGTTATTTGCACGTAACTCTTTTAAAAGAATATCCAAAATTTCAATACATAACTTTAAAAAAAAAAACATGTATCTTTTAATGTTTAAGACTTGCAACTTAATAAACTAAACATTTATCATTTAGTACAACAGTTTAATGATATTTTTCCTCATTTGTAAGTGAGGGGTCTTAAGTTCGATTCTCACCAATAGAAAATTTGAACCAAATTATTGCTAACTCATTGTGAGGCTTAGCTCACTCCTTTATTGTAGATAATTTATCATTTGTTCAAAAAAAAAAAAAAAAAACCAAACGATTAATCCTTCATGGGCTCGGGTTTAAAGATATGAAATAATGAACTCAAGATTTAACTAATTCATCCCTCAAAACTGGGCTGCATCCATTATAACGCTCAGAATATATTGATTCAAGATTATAAGAAGCGCTCGACTATAGGCTAAGTTCTCTTGTCTCTCAATCGTCTGACCTGCTACAAGAGGTATTTACCCCCTTATATATGCCCTCAATGAGCACACAAAGTCTCAGGCTCATCCACTTTATTATTCCGACATTAAATGGGCTACCAGCGTAGATTGGAGTGCTGACTATCCTTTCGTTCATCAGTCGACATGTGGTGGTGAAGTGACAGTCGTTTAACTCGGTTACATGTTTTTATGGGCCAACGCGTACCAAGCACAAGGTTCGATCTTGACTAGTCAACAGTGTTCCTTTCGATCAATGGCCCGATATCCTTTATGTCCCATCATAAGCTTTTATCTTTATTGGTGATTGACACGTTGCTTGGGTTGGTGTCTAAGTATGCCTATTCCTGGAGTCTTGTACCATAAAGTTGTCAGTCTGCCCATGTACCGTTGACGTTTGGGAAGTGCTTTATATTAGTCAAACAAGACTAGTGAGCAGTTGACTATAACGCTCCAAAATGTCCCTTTCTAATTCCTTGGACTTCCTTTCCTTCTTTGGGCCTTGACCATTCTTGGGCTTTCCTCGATCTTTTTTTGGACTTGTACTATTTTGAGGGTCCAAAAACACCCTGCATTAACAATACCAAAGCAGCAACAAGATCCTCTCCAGATCCTTTCAAAGCACCAACAGGATCCTCTCCGGATCCTTTTGGTGAGGATCTGGGGATCAGTAACTGTTTGTGTTTAATTTTAAATAAAAATATTTAAAATAATTTATAACCGCACGATGTATGATGATTGAACACGATTCATGGATCCCCGTGACCTCACAAAGCGAATCCGGATTCACCAAAGCGTGTGGTAGTATTTTTTTTATTATCCCATAATTGTACAACTTCATATATATTGGACCCACAACCAAAAGACGGAATAAAAATCTCAAATTATTTTGAAGAATTCGTTCAATTCCAAAACCCACCCTAAAACCCTGACCATAGCTCACCGCCTGTCTTACTCGCTCTCTCGCGCGAACACTTTCTTTCCCTGAGTAATTTCCTCGAGCACTTGGGGTGCAATACTGCGGAACCCATGAAGGCCAACAAGGCAACCGTCTTAACATTTGCCGAGAAATGCAAGGTATTCATTTCCCCTCTAGTTTTCTCAATTCATTTTATTTTTCATGGTTTTGTTGCTACAAGAATCTCATGACCTCAAACAATTGCAGAGTATACTGTCTTCCAATTGGCAAGGGCAACTCAATACCATCAAAGCTGATGCTAAAGGAAGGTAACCCATTTCCTCAAAACTCTTCCTTTTCAGCTATGCTTAGTGGGTACAAGACTTAAATAATCGGGCTTTTTACATTGATTTCGATTGCAAAAGGCCTTCACTCAACTGAGTATAATACTATATGTTGGGTGGTTATGTTAAAAATTTAGCTATCAAAGATGTTACCGAAAGGATTGTATTACTGAAAAGAAATCGCATTGAAAACCCGACTGATTTGGATCAACCCCGTGTAGGTTATCTTTTGCTTCATAAGCTTGTATGGTAGTTTGGAATTGAGTTGAGTTTCAGATTTCGTTTTACGTAAGTAAAATGATATGAGTTCCCAAGTTTAGTGTCTGTTCATCTTCTTGTGGGCTTTTAGTTAGTAACCGTTAAATGTTTATACTATAAAGCAGCAGCAAAGACTGCTACTTTCATCCATTAACTAATGGGATTTCTTGCTGTTTGCTATGTATGGTTGTGTTAGCAAGGAGGACATATACACATCAAAGGTTAAGTACATCTGCAAAAGAGGGAAGCCATACCTTTGGGTGCCCGAAAAGGAGTTGCATAATGTGGTAAGCTCATGTCATAGTGTTTAGACTGATGATTTTTACTTTCGGACATGAAGTCATTAAGTTTTCACTTTATTTGCCTGCTGGTAAGCTGTATTTTCTCTGTAGTGTGTGCTTGAGATTTCTCTTAGATTATTTGCACACGTCCTCCAAAAAAGAGAAATAATTTTATTGTCTGGTAGCAGGCACCGTGTGCATGCGATGAAGCTTTAGTCATTAAGGCTGTTATCCTCATTTTCTTTTCCTTCTCTTGCAGAATGTAGTTGTTGATGAGCGCAGTTCATTTGCTGTCACCAATCCCATCCCAGGTCCACTGGCAAGCTTACTTAGATCATTAAGAAAGGTATTCAATTTTGAGTTTTGTGATCCCCTTCCCTCTTTCCCCAGTTATAACTACTTTAAGGACAGTTTTTTCTACCCCAAGATTTGTCAAAAGATTTTTCTTCCTTAAAGCATGTCAATATTTGGAATAGTATCGATGTGAAGCTGCATAAGGTACATGTATTTGAGCAAGTATTTCCATTGTGCATATTAATCTAATAGTTGATTGTTCTAAATTTGCAGACACCGTCTCGAATTGCCCTGACTGGCGAAGTTGTGCCTCTAACCGAGGAAAAGGTAATCTTATTCTACCCCCACTTTACTTTTCTGAACATTCTGAACTTGAATAGATTTGATTTCCAACTCATGGGATCCATGTTCTTTGTCACAAAACCGTGTCTTTTCTTTTTACAAGTGTAGGTTTACTTTAATGCTTTGTTTGATTCTATGATTCTACAACCGTTGATTTTTATTTTAAAAAAAAAAATTTCAACACATTCTTAACTCACTATGCCTGAAATCATACTAGGTATTGTCCCACCTCTAACATGGTTATTTTAGGCCGGTTCCTGAAATAATCCACTGGATAAAGGAAAATCAAAACAAAGGAGGAAAGGGGAATTGAGAATATTAACTCCTCATTCACTGATGATATTCATCAGGTTTTGAAGGAGCAGGACATTGGAAATATTAACCTTCATTGATGATTTTCATCAGCATATGTTGGTTGTGAATATGTGATTGAATTACACCTAATCCTGCTTTAGGTTGAAACTTCTGACCTCATTAGTAATAAGCAATAACGGGAAATTTGAGCTCTCAAATTGCTTCAGTATTATGGTTACAGTGTTTTCTTTTAATAATATGTTATTCTTCTTGTTATAGGTTCAATCTGCAACGAAAGTCCTTAGAGAAGTCATACGGTCGGAGCAGAAAGCAATGAGTGAGTCCAGTTATACAGTTTCAGGTGTATTAAGTTCTTCTGATCATAGCTGTACATCACGAAGCGAAAGCCTTAAGGAGCTCTTGGAAGGTGATGAAAACTACATAGTTTACAAGTTCAATCAAAGGCAAGAACCTTGCCTTCTGGAATTTTAATTGAAATCTTTGTCTAAATTTTGTTGGTAACTGAATCCAGTGTTTTCATCAGTATGTCTGATTGTGATTATCCTAGGGTCAGGTTAGAATTTGGACAATTTTCATAGCAAGTATTGGAGCAGGTCCATCTGTTTATAAACTGAATTACCAAATAAACTTTTTGTGTTGTCGCCGTCTAACCAACCTGATAATATGAAAACCTCCTGGCTAGTTTCAATAATTTCAATCTTTAAGAGAAGGACAACATATAGAGCATTACGCTGCATTCCATTAATACAACTATGGCTATAGGTCCCATCATTCCATTAATACAGTTATGGCTATACGTTCAATCATTCGTGTAGTTTTTTTGAATATATTTCTGTACTCTCTTCAAACGAGAGATATGTTATGCTTCACGTAGACTATGTGACCTGAGTTTCAGCGCCAACGACCTCTGACTCAAAATATTTATTGTCCAGATCGTGTGTGTATGTTGATGGCAGTGGAGACACTCATAAGATTGATACAGAAGATATGGCTGCGTCTAAAGCAGATTTGTTGGGTAGAACCTACTTGAAAGTGCTTTTAAAGGTTTCCTATAGCTTGAGAAGATACGACTTTTGTCAGTTTACTCACACGCATAAAATTTTGATGTAGCTCCTTTGTCTGCCAAACTTATTGATGGGATAAATCAAAGTGCACCAAGACGCAGAGCGCTAATGCTTTTCTGCTGTACATACTTGAATGCAAATGCAAAGGTAGACAATCTTTTATTAACTTCTAATTCTTTGATAAGATCAAAGGTAGGATCGGGAACATATTAACTCATTTGTATACATGTTGTCATGGAAGGATGCATACATGCTGTCTATCGACCGTAAGGGTTTTGAGGTGTTGAGCAAGGTTCTGAGTCCTGGGTTTAAGGATGGATTTGGCCAGTTCGAGTGGAAGGAATTTAGACTGTCTTTGGCGGAAGAGGCACGTGACGTCGAAGCATTCTGCCGTCAACTTGTGGAAATGGAAGAGGAGGCTGTGAAGGAGGTTTCAGGCCATGGTGGTTTAGCATAAAAAGGTTAGAAGGCATAGCAGAAAGATTTCTCGACTGCTCAAACCATTCACGCATTACTTGTTTTTGTAATGAATCCTATAGTTGGATGAGTTTTGTGATCCTTTTCCCATACCTGCATTTGTACCACATCGTCTGCTAATTTGAGACGAGAATAAGTCCTTGAATCCGCGACGGACTTATCTCGTTTTGCTAATGTTTATATCCCGACTACCATGAAATCATAATATAGTTATGAGGCGCCCGGTGGATGTATGTGTATCGAACAACTAAAGCATGTAGAACTAAACGCGGGACTCAAAGGCCGGTGAATGTCCATTCTTGTACTTCAATGGGAGTCGAGGGACTACTGCTACAGAACTAACAGCCTCCTTAGCCTCAGCGGACTCAGCCACTTTGCTGACTTCGTTCTGTAATTGACAGGTTCCTTCCGTCACTCCCGACTACCATATAAGTCTTGCGCAGGCAAAGTCGAGCCTCCGAGAAATCCCAATTGCTTGAGCGAGAGGAAAAACAGAGACGGTAAACAGGTAAAAATAACATAGTAAAGACAAACAAACAAGCAGCAATTTGACCATGAGGGCATGATCAAACAGTAAAATCTAAGAGATAATTTAGAAAGTAAATAGGCTTCATTGGCAAAATACAGGGATACGGTGTTCAACAAAATGACCAAGAAACATCCTACATCTTGGATTTTTTAAAATCTCATAAAAGTAAAAACGATTTCAAACCTTAAACTTAAAATACACGATCACTAGCTTCACCCCCACCACTTCCTTCAAAACACATCGTGGATCGACAAAAACCGCTTAATCAACTTCTTCGATCTTGGGACCAGCACCGCTGCCACCAGCAGGAGGAACATCTTCATCCATGCCGCCACCAACATCAGGTCCACCAGCACCACCCTGGTACATCTTGGCAATGATCGGATTGCAGATGCTCTCCAGCTCCTTCATCTTGTCCTCAAACTCGTCAGCCTCAGCAAGCTGGTTTCCGTCAAGCCATTGGATGGCCTGGTCAATTGCATCCTCAATCTTCTTCTTGTCAGCTGCATCGAGCTTGGATGCAATCTTATCATCCTTGATCGTGTTCCTCATGTTGTAGGCGTAATTCTCCAGAGCATTCTTGGCCTCCACCTTCTTCTTGTGCTCCTCATCTTCTGACTTGTACTTCTCAGCCTCTTGAACCATCTTCTCAATTTCTTCCTTCGACAATCTTCCCTTGTCATTGGTGATGGTAATCTTGTTCTTCTGCCCTGTAGTCTTGTCTTCAGCCGAGACGTTCAATATACCATTGGCATCAATATCAAAGCAGACAGTGATTTGAGGAACACCCCTTGGAGCAGGAGGAATGCCAGAAAGCTCAAATTTTCCCAACAAGTTGTTATCGCGAGTCCTTGTCCTTTCACCCTCATATACTTGGATCAAGACACCGGGCTGATTGTCTGAGTAGGTAGAGAACACTTGCTCCTTCTTGGTTGGAACAGTAGTGTTCCTTGGAATCAACACAGTCATCACACCTCCGGCAGTCTCCAAACCAAGGGACAGAGGAGTGACATCCAGAAGCAATAGATCCTGCACCTTCTCATTACCCTCACCGCTCAAGATGGCAGCCTGCACGGCGGCACCATAAGCAACAGCCTCGTCTGGGTTGATGCTCTTGCATAGCTCCTTGCCATTGAAGAAGTCTTGTAATAACTGCTGTACCTTCGGAATCCTAGTGGAACCACCCACTAGCACAACATCATGGACCGAGCTCTTGTCCATCTTTGCATCTCGCAAACACTTCTCAACGGGCTCCATACACTTTCTGAAGAGATCCATGTTAAGCTCTTCAAACCTAGCACGGGTAATGGTTGAGTAGAAATCAACACCCTCGTACAAAGAATCAATCTCAATTGTGGTCTGAGCAGTGGAGGAGAGAGTCCTCTTTGCTCTCTCACAAGCAGTTCTCAACCTCCTAAGAGCTCTTGGGCTGCTGCTGATGTCCTTCTTGTGCTTCCTCTTGAACTCTTGAACAAAGTGATTCACCATTCTGTTGTCAAAATCTTCTCCTCCCAAGTGGGTGTCTCCGGCAGTTGCCTTCACTTCAAAGATACCCTCTTCAATTGTGAGCAGGGAGACGTCAAAAGTACCTCCGCCAAGATCGAAAATCAAGACATTCTTCTCGCCAACGCTGGTTGCCTTCTTGTCAAGACCATATGCAATAGCGGCAGCGGTAGGCTCATTGATAATACGCAAAACATTAAGGCCGGCAATGACCCCAGCATCCTTCGTGGCCTGACGCTGAGAGTCGTTAAAGTAAGCCGGGACAGTAACAACGGCATTCTTTATAGATGAGCCAAGATAGGCCTCAGCAATCTCACGCATCTTGACAAGAACCATGGAGGATATTTCTTCGGCAGCGAACTGCTTCTCTTCGCCCTTGTATATGACAACAATCATGGGCTTGTCACCGGGGCCGGGAATGACCTTGAAAGGCCAGTGCTTCATGTCACCCTGGACAGACGGGTCAGAGAATCTCCTACCAATCAACCGCTTGGCATCTGAAAAAATAACCAAGCTCGTTTAAAATACTAATTTATTAATTACGCATAACACAGAACAAGCTCCAATATCAAGCTAAATCCTTTCAAAATGATCAAAAATATAAATAACCAAACAGATCAAGCTACAAACACTACAAACTCAGATAGCGTTTCTAAAATTTCATCATCAATTAACAAGAAACTCAAAACCCAAATTATAATTTTTAACAGATTAACTAAAACCCAAAGCCCTGATCACCAAGTACAATATTTGATAGTCCTTTAATATTAACTAAATAAATCCTGCAAATAACAATAAATAAAAAAAAAGAAAAGAAAATCAACCATTTTTTCTTGTTCAATTCGCTATAAAAAGATTCAAGGCAGACAAAAACCTTGCATAAAATTAGCATCCATCGTAATTTATCACACCGAGCCTCAAAAGGATAATTACTTTCAAGGAAATTGAACTCTTTTTCTCAGAAATTCAAGCAATAGAAATCCAAAAACAGCAAAATTTAAACCAGCAGCAAATATTGACAGTAAATTCATAAAATCAGCCATACAAGCATGTAGATCAGACAGTACAGAGTAAAATTGATTCAAAAAACGCAACATGCAAGGCAAAAAAACATCATAACATCAGAAATATCGCAAGAAAAGAGAAGTATTTCGATTCTTACCAAAGACGGTGTTGACGGGGTTCATCGCGACCTGGTTCTTGGCCGCATCGCCGATCAACCTCTCCGTGTCAGTAAACGCCACGTAAGACGGCGTCGTCCGGTTGCCCTGATCATTGGCGATGATCTCGACACGATCGTGTTGCCAAACACCGACGCACGAGTAAGTGGTTCCGAGATCGATCCCGATCGCCGGCCCCTCTCCCTTTCCCGCCATTGCAACCGCAGGGATTCAACCAATCGAACAAGCAAAGAACCGTAGAGAAAATTAAAGATCCAACCGCAGAGAAAAGCAAAGAGCTTCTGAGATTTTTTGTGCGACGGGCTGTTCGTAATCACAGGTGTTGGATTTAGAGTAGTGAATGGCGGGGGGCTATATAGTAGGACACTTGTCTAGAATGTTCGTGAGGAAATTGACTATTTTTGGTGGGAGAGTGTCCAGAATGTTCGGTTTGATAACGGCCGTTGGATTTGAGTGTCGTGGACGGTGCTGATCTGATTTGCTTCACGGGGTTGGTTTCTTTACTTTTTGATCGAAACTTCGTGTCCACTCCCTTGGTCGTCGGAAATTTGTCCTTTCGTCCTTGTTGAAAAACGTTTCACAGGACGGTGGCGTTTTGTGTTTGGGCTGTGAGTTGACTTTTGGGCTTTCGAAAGGCTTTGAATCCGAACGGATTTGGATCGGGCTGCACTGCAGTCTTTATGGTGTGTGTGCGCAATACATGATGAGTCGGTTTACAATTGCTTTTGGATCAAATGTAATGGTTGAGTTAAAGCTTAATATTTAAAGAAAATTAATGAAAAGGGTTTGAAAACTTTGAGTTTTAATGATAAGGACAAAATAAAGGGTAAAATGAAGATTACCAAGATTGACTTTTTAGTGTAAAAATATGATTTTTCGTTAAAGTAAACAGTACCGAGAGCTTTTTGTGAAAGTCCTTTAAAATTTAAACTTTAAATCCCCCAAGGCATTTCCAATTATTACTCTCTTTTAATATCTTTTTGGCATCAATCCTTGGTAAAATGCAAGTGAGTCATGAGAAAGCACTTTAAGTGCTTTTAGGCCTCGTTTGGCAGTTCGAATTGTACTGACTATTTCAGTCGGATAGAATAATCTGTCACCGGATTATATTGACTAAATTAATTGAATGTTTGGTGCAATATTGTACTAATGACCGTATTATTTATAATATGTTTGTTACCGTATCGGATAATAGATCGGATTATATTATTTTTATTAAAAAAATTTGATGACTAATGAAAAAAAGGATTTTTTTTTTTTTTTTTTGATAAAAATTCACAACAACCAAATGCATCAAATTAAATAAAAATAATCTTGATATTGCATTTTCTATTTGTCCTTTATTTAAATCAAACTATTAAAAAAAAAAAATTCATTTCTTCCCCAGATCTTCTCCACTGCACAGGATTCCCTAGGATTCACCACACTAAATGGGATGGACAACAGAATCAGCATAGACAACATACCCAATAGCATGAGACTACTTCCTAAATGTTCTATGCATGTGAGATTGCTCCCTGATCTCTCGCATTTCTTTCCATGAGGAGTCAACCCAATTCCAGCGGTGATGCGGCGATTTTGGGCAGTAGGTGAATGCAGGCGATGCTCCGACGACGTGGGTTTCAGTCGGATCTAGTTCAAATCCAGGATCGATGGCACGTGAACCCAAGCGGGTCCCGCGACTAGGAACTGCAAAGGAGGGCGACGGTCGCGACGAGAAACTAAAGAGGAGGGCGACAACTATGGAGTGCAAAAGGAAGAAGAAGATGAAGAAGAAAGGAGAAGGAGGAAGAAGAACCTCGGATTGACGATGGCAACAGAAGTGAGTTTGCAAAACGATGTGAGAGAGCCAAATTGATAGAGCGAGGACACAAACCCGACTAATAATACATAGGTTTCTGGAAGGATAAATAAGCGGGCATACACCAGATAAAAGATGTGGCCCAATTTAAGTAATACAAGTACTATTTAGTACATAGTTGCACCAAACACCTGGCTCTGTGTAACTTATCCTATCCAATTCCTTATACGGGCTGCCAAATGAGGCCTTAGAACCCAAAATTGTTTTCACTAAAAGTCCTTTTAGTCATTTTAAAAGTACTTTCAAAAGAGCTCTTAATAAAGCATAATGATTGGAAATGTTTGGGAGGGACATTGCATTTGATCTAAAAGCACTTCTAAACTGACTCATCATGTATTGCACAAACACACACCATATGAACTATAGTGAATCAACTTTCACACAACAAACTCTATAAATACCTATGTATTTATTTAAACATCCACACAAAATTAGGATAATCTACATAATGTGTAGAAATGATTTTTCATATATGTGTATGAACTTGTGTTTAAGAATGGGGTGGATTTGTGTGATTTTTTTTTATTATTTATTAGAATTCAAATATTTTTAGCTTAAAATATAAATATAAATAAATTAGTATAATCTATGTAAATTTTTTTTTTTAAAAAAATTATTGAGAAAAAAATTAAGCTAAAATTATTTTTTAATAATTTGGGGCTTCGATTAAAAAAAGCCATAACTATTGGAAGGAAAAAACTTTTTATGGGTTATGCCTTAAAATTTCATGTTTAACTCACACCATTGCACATTATTTTACATAAGGGTGGAAAAAAATCCCCAAAATCCCGAACCAAACTGAAAAAATCCAGATCCCAAACCGAAATTCCTAAAATTTTCGGAATGTTATCCCAAACCAATCCCTAAATTTCGGTATGGAATTCGGGATTGGCCTCTCAATATTTCGGGAATCCCATACCAAACCGAAAATAAATATTATTAATTATTATATATATATATTTTTTTTATAATTGATGCTAGTAGTTTCTAATTCATGCTTTGCAACCTGGAATGCCCTACACCTTGCATATTTTTCATGTTCTATTTTATATTCATTTGGATTTTATTATTGCTGCTGTCATGGCTGATGATTTCAGAAGGCTTGATTCTTTTGTCTTTCAACAGATTGTCAAAAGGGTTTAATTAATTTGAATTTTGACTCTGATAAAAACAGTCAGGCATGCTAGTGTTCGATTAAATGGTAGTGTGAATGAAATGACATTCCTAGTTCATGAATGTGTTCTTGAATTATATATTTTGAAGAATAATTCATAATTTCATATTTTAATTTGGGATTCCCAATTTGTCCCGAAATCCCGAAAATATTTCGGGATTTCCGAAAATTTGGTTTGGGATTGGTCTTCAAATTCCCGTCCCGAAAAATTTCGGTTTGGGATTCAAGATACTAGTTTCGGTTCAATATCCCATACCAAACCATCCCTAGTTTTACAACTGATTTTATAATGCTCATTAGTGTTTCTTCTATAAGTGCTTTCATAGAGAAACATTTGATCCTTTATTGAATGTTCAAATGCGTCTTGAAAATTTACTTGAAAGTGCTTCCTAAATCATCACGTGCTTGATGCCTCTCTTTATCCATATAGTTAGATGAGTTTTGTGATCCTTATCCATATTTGCATTTGTACCACATCGTCTGCTAGATTGAGACAGATGCTCATACTTGTACTCTGAAGGGAGTCAAGGGACTACTGCTACAGAACTAATAGCCTCCGTAGCCTCAGCTGCTTTGATGACTTAGAGCTTCACATGTCAAAACTACCACATAGACATATAACAATAAAAATTGGTAACAAAATCTCTCCAACCGAGCCTTCAATTTCCTATGTGGCGCTAAGTCAACTGAAGGCAAAATATTATGCTGTCAAATCCATTTAGTATTTTTCTAATAAATTTAATGCAAATATAATAAACGTTGTGTATTCTAAGAATTTGATTGGTTGCATGCATAAATAGACCCCACAAAGTGATTAATTTTTTTTTAAATGACATTATTATTTAACATATCAGATAAAAAGAACAGTAAAGACAAAATTCAACAAGATCAAACGGGAGATCTGAGAGAATTTTGAATAAAAAAAGGAAAAAAAAAGGCTTCATTGGCAAAATACCGGAATACGATGTTGAACAAAATGACCAAGATCACCAAACATCCTACATCTTGGATTTTAGAATCCCATAAAAAAGTACCCAATTTCAAACCTTAAACTACGAAACAGAAAAACACATTCACCACTTTCTTCAAAACAAACACATCTTGGATGAACAAAAACCACTTAATCAACTTCTTCGATAACAATATAGGGACCAACACCACTGCCAGCAGCAGGAGGAAAGTTCCCCCAGCACCCTGTTTCTTGGTACATCTCGGCACTGTTTGGATTGCAGATGCTCTCCAGCTCCTTCTTCTGGTACTCAAACTCGTCAGCCTCAGCAAGCTGGTTTCCGTCAAGCCATTGCATGGCCTGGTCAATCTCATCATTGATCTTCTCAATCTTTTTCCTCATGTTGGAGGCATAATCCTCCAAAACCTTCCTCATGTCGTGGGCATAATTCTCCAAAGCATTCTTGGCCTCCACCTTCTTCTTGTGCTTCTCATCTACTGACTTGTACTTCTCAGCCTCTTGGGCCATCTTCTCTATTTCTTCCTTCGACAATCTTCCCTTGTCCTTGGTCATGGTAATCTTGTTCTTCTTCCATGTAGTCTTGTCTTTAGCAGAGATTTTCAAGATACCGTTGGCATCAATATCAAAGCAAACAGTGATTTGCGGAACACCCCCTTGGAGCAGGAGGAATGCCAGAAAGCTTGAATTTTCCCAACAAGTTGTTATCGCGAGTCCTTGTCTCTTCACCCTCATATACTTGGATCATGATACCAGGCTGATTGTCTGAGTAGGTAGAGAAGACTTGCTCCCTCTTGGTTGGAACGGTAGTGTTCCTTGGAATTAACACAGTCATCACACCTCCGGTAGTCTCCAAACCAAGGGACAGAGGAGTGACATCCAGAAGCAATAAGTCCTCCACCTTCTTGTTACCCTCACCGCTCAAGATGGCAGCCTGCACAGCGGCGCCATAAGCAACAACCTCGTCTGGGTTGATGCTCTTGCATAGCTCCTTGCCATAGAAGAAGTCCTGCAACAACTGCTGCACCTTCAGAATCCTAGTAGAATCGCCCACTAGCACAACATCATGGACCGAGCTCTTGTCCATCTTTGCATCTCTCAAACACTTCTCAACGTGCTCCATACACTTTCTGAAAAGATCCATGTTAAGCTCTTCAAACCTAGGACGGGTAATGGTTGAGTAGAAATCGACACCCTCGTACAAAGAATCAATCTCAATTGTGGTCTGAGCAGTGGAGGAGAGAGTCCTCTTTACCCTCTCACAAGCAGTTCTCAACCTCCTACGAGCACTTGGGCTGCTGTTGATAACCTTCTTGTGCTTC